TTGCAGGTCATTTGGGCCATAATATTGTGGCACATACATGTAGGCCTGTGAGTTATATACATTTTTGGCTATTTTTACCCAAAATAACAAGTAAATAAGGCTGGCATCTAAAAAAAAGTGAACACCTTTCACCAAGGTACATCTTTTTTTCAAAATTTCAGGTCATTCGACTGTACATTGTAATATAGAGGCACAGAAGCCAATAATATAGATTTTCTACTATTTTTACCCAAAGTAAGCCATATAAAACCATTTGCAAGTCTTAGATTTGAATAAAAAACTTGGAAAGCAAAATCTTAGCATAATATTTATGCAAAGCTATCCCCATGCCATGCAGGGTATTGGGCTGTCATAAAGTAGGACAAAAGCAAAATGCATTTCTGACATTTTTAACCAAAATAAGTAACTAGTGATAGTAGCATTTAGGGGAGTGAATCTATCACTTATCACCATAATGATACATTTTGTGGGACAATTTCACAGTATTGTATGAAATCTTTTTTAAAATTAAGATTTCTGCGCAGAAATCTGTGCAGAATTCTGCAGATTTCTGCAGAATTCTGCAGATTTCTGCAGAAATCTTCCCCGTGTGTCAATGGAATTTCCCTAATATGGTTCATTCAACTGATACTGCTGGTTACTAGCCCGAGTGTCAGCCTTTCTAGCGTTCGTACGCTCCCCACACTCTACATGTAGCATAGTGGGGAGTAGACAAAAGATAAAAAGGCTGACACTCAGGCTAGCTGGTTACACTTACTGGATCTGGTCTTATGCTTGCCTGTATAGCTCAAATGAAACGTCTGTTACGTTACATGTCCTTGTCTGTAATGTGTATAGCTGACATCATCATCACTTTGTGGAGAATTGTTTTACTTCATAAATTAGTTTAAAGATCTCAATTTTTTTAAGAAACAAAAAGAAAAGAACAGCATACATAACAATGTACAGTGCATTTAGCTATCCCCATGCCAAATTGTAGGGCACTGGGCAAAAGCCAAAAATTAATGCATTTCCGACAAGTTATGCCCAAAATACACGTAACCTGATAGTAGCATTTGTAGGGTAGTAAATCTATCACCATAATGGATTTTGTAGGACAGTATGGTATGAAATCTTTAAAAAAGCAGAATTCTGCGCAGAAATCTGTGCGGGGTGCAGAATTCTGCGCAGAATTCTGCAGATTTCTGCAGAAAAAACCTGATCCCTAGGGAACTATCACTGTTATGTAGCATAGTGGGGAGTAGACGAAAGATAAAAAGGCTGACACTCAGGCTAGCTGGTTACACTTACTGGATCTGGTCTTATGCTTGTCTGTATAGCTCAAACGAAACGTCTGTTACGTTGCATGTCCTTGTCTGTAATGTGTATAGCTCATCATCATCACTTTGTGGAGAATTGTTTTACTTCATAAATTAATTTAAAGATCTCAATTTTTTTAAGAAACAAAAAGAAAAGAACAGCATACATAACAATGTACAGTGCAAAGCTATCCCCATGCCAAATTGTAGGGCACTGGGCAAAAGCCAATGCATTTCCGACAAGTTATGCCCAAAATACACGTAAACTGATAGTAGCATTTGTAGGGTAGTAAATCTACCACCTATCACCATAATGATACATTTTATAGGACAGTATGGTACAGAATCTTTAAAAAAGCAGATTTCTGCGCAGAAATCTGCACAGATTTCTGCACCCAGCGCAGAATTCTGCGCAGAAATCTGCGCGGGGTGCAGAATTCTGCGCAGAATTCTGCAGATTTCTGCAGAAATCTGCAGAAAAAACCTGATCCCTAGGGAACTATCACTGTTATCTACATAGTTGTTGTCATCTTCTACATCACAATATGGAATGTCAATTGCCCAGGACAAACTATGCTTGAAAAGTGAGAGGTAGTCCGGAATTAGAGTGTCTGTCCGGAATTATAGTGTCGCCTGTTATTCTCATGTGTTTGATCTCTCATGTTTTTGATCTCCCATGTGTTTGATCTGTCATGTTTGATCTCATGCATGTGTTTGGTCTGTTATGTGTTTGAATTCTCTAGTGTTTGATATCTTATGTGTTTGATTTCTGATGTTTCTTATCCTTAATGTTTGATTTCTCATGTGTTTGATCTCTCATGTGTTTGACCTATCTTGTGTTTGATTTCTCATGTGTTTAATCTCTAGTGTTTGATCTCTTAATAATAATATGCATTTGATTTCTGATGTTTCTGATCTCTCATGTGTTTGATCTCTCATGTGTTTGATCTCTCGTGTGTTTGATCTCTCTATGCAGAACCGTTGGAAGGAAACATAGATGTAACGGTTCACGACGAAGTGTTCGCAAGGGTGCACCTGGGAATTCTGGGAATAAACCTTGACATCTTTGTCATACGACTGTGTTTCATTGGTCACACCTGGTACAACCTTAACCTGCTTCAGGTATGGTACGACTTACCGTAAAAAAATTCGTTTATCTTAAGGTGTTGCAGGCCAGAATCTACATTGTACACCTGACCACAATGCAGTTGGGTTGATATATTGGCATCTTCTTTTCTATATGATACAGCTTATTTTCATTAGCAATACATGTATAGTAGCTAATTTTCGGCAATGTCACAGGGGCACAGCCATTTTTGGATGCTCTCGAATGCAAATTAAAGTGTTGATTTCAGTCTTGCCTGGCTTTCTGTTAGATTCTATAAGCTAACCTTTATTAGCAAGGAGTAGCTAAGTTTTGGCAATGCGTCAGGAGCAGAGCCATTTTTTATAGCAAAAGTGTTTCCAGTCATTAATGTCATTAATGACCGGCTGCTTTTCGTTTCATTTCTATTAGCTAAATCTATATTAGCAAGGAGTAGCTAATTCAGTTTTCTTGAAAGCAAATTAAAAGTGTCGTTGCATGTCTTGTTATTATTGACTGTTTGCTTTTCTTTTTGATTCTATAAGCTGGTATCAAGTAGCTAATTTTTGGCGATGCCTCAGGGACGGAGCCATTTTTCATAAATGTGTTTCTCGTCATCTTCAGGAGTTTGATATAGGGACTGTGACAGACATCACCAGCAAGTTTGATGATGTTGTTGGAAAGATCTTCAACGCCATCAGTACCGGGGTGTCGGCTGTTCAGAGTGTGGTGACAGGGGAGACTGACATCATTGATCTGTTTGAAGCACTGAAGTCATCTTTGGAGGCCCTTCCTGGCAGGGTATGTGTCAGAGTTTAAAACCACATTTCCAAATAAAATATAGTACATATTACAAAAGGTAAAAAACTAGAAAAGTAACATTTGCAAAGCAAATGCATAATGTTTACCTTCGGATATGGTCTGCTCTGTTAATTCTTACTCAAACTATGAAATTGCAACATTATGTAACCCAACACCAGTTACTATGATGACAGACGTCAACAAAAGAGGCCATTGACCAGGTCAGAGGTTAGTGTTTGAAACAGAAGAAGAAATGGAGCAAAAACAATATGTTTTCCTTTGGTAAACATAAAAAGTGGGTGTTTTAATGGGACATCTGGTTACCAGAAATTGACCGTAAGGTCAAGTTGGCAGGCCGGGAGCAAGTCGGTCCATCCACCCACCTACATTTAGGGCTTATCACAACAAGCTCCCAGCTTGCAAGCTTCACATAATATCCAGAATATCTAGCTATGAATGGGTTAGGGTTAGGATCAGGCATGGTTCTGGATACAGTAGAGTCTTCTTGTATGCAATAAGAATGTAGATTTGCCACAGTCACGGTTCTGGATGCACATATACTACATGTATATAGACTATCCAAAACCGTGCCTGGACATGGTTCTGGATAAAGCATGGTTCTGGATACCACAGGGGGTCCAAATTACATGTAGGGGTTCAAACTTTGCAAGCTAGCACCAACTAGGCTTATGTCAAAAGTAACTGCTACAAGCTGCTTTGAAATGGAAATGCGCTTGGTGCTTGGTGGCTGGGGCGACCGAAGTTACGCAATACCTAACCGCACGTAACCGCTAATAAACGTGACGCAATGCTTAAGCCTTAACCGTATGTATCCGCTAATAAGCACAACCGCAAGTAAAAATGACGCAATGTCTACCACACAATCGCACGTAACAGTTAATAATAAATCCATATTTGCCTCAATCACTAATTGTTCTTACCCAGGAATGTCAATACATGTAAGTTAAATTTTTACCCCAATTATTTTTGCACTTCGTTGCTTCGTCAAGCATGTATCGGCAAGCTAGTATTGCTACAATTCAAGTCAGCAAGCTGACCAATTATTTGAGTCATTAATAGTGCACACGCACCCATGCCACCCAACCAGCTATTCCCACTTCTGCCGGCCAGCTTTTTTAAGAAGCTTTCTTGTTTCTCTTCCAGGTCCTTATGATAAAGGATGTTGTGATTTATGTTCTGGATGTCCTGGGGAAGTATGATCCCAATGTGTGGCCCCCCACTATCCGCCCCATGGTCAGGGCCGTGCTGGGCATCGTGGGTAAAATCAACAAGATCAGGAATGACATCAACACCTTCTACAATGTAAGTGAATGAGGCCAGGAAGTATTGCTTTGTGTGTGTGTTCGTTTGTTTGTGTGTGTTCCATTGTGTGTCTATGAGTAGTTGAAAGCAGAAGAATGGCAAAAAGGAGGAGAATATGTAACAGTTACTACTAAAGTATACAGATTGACAGGAAGGTAAATAAAATTTGATAAATGATCTCGTGGCATTAAAACACAGTTGATTTTGACTACAGTACACAAAGCAGTTACTCAAGCAACTGGATATGATTTTGGAAGGTACACATGTATGTACATGTAACATGTTAAATATTTCACCTCCTTGTTAATGTTGAAGTTTGCTAATCTTTTGATGACTATTTTGAAAGGTTCACAGAATGTAAATATCAACAAGAATGATTCAATAACTCTACCATACATTTGTAAAATTGGCATTAATTTTGCAAATGGGTAAAAAGACCAGTTGTTAAAAGACTGTAAGGGATGAGTTTAAAGACTGTATCTAGTGAGTTCTGTAATGAGGTGCTGAAATGCCTTCCATTGAGAAATATGTTTTGTTGTTCTGTGTAGTTGGTGACAATGACCATCTCTGTGGATCTGCCATGGGCTGCTGACCAAATCTGGGACTCCATTGTGACCTTGGTTGGTGCCCTTGATGAGGTCTTCTCAAACCCCAAGGGAGCCCTCGCTAATATCTTCAAGTGTGTCTTCAGGTAGGCTGTCTGAAATAACTATTGATAATAATTGTTTGTTTGCTTCACTAGGGTAAATTTTGTGTTTACTTAGTAAACATAAAATTCACAATTCTCCTTGGCTGTTGTCACTCACCATACATGCATTCTAATGGAAATGGTCACAGTCCTTGGGACGTTACACCATGTGGTCTACTGTTCATTGTTCTTGTTGAGAAGGGTTAGGGCAATTTCTTAGTACAATGAGCCTAGCTGTACATACAATGAACCCATAGTGTCTGTCTTCTCTGTTCTAATCAGAGAGCAGCTCAACTGTTAATTGAGTTCATATGAACTAAACTTGTTTGAGATATACTTTAACTTCTGTCATGTTTTATAGTTTTGGGATAACAAGATTAATTTTGGTTTACCTTTTTCAGGTTTGCCCAAGCAGCGTACACCCTTTTCCAAAGGACGAATCAAATGAAGGCCATTATTCTTCCTAATGGTAAATTGGAAACAAAACATTTTACAGAAAATTCTGAATAATGTTTACAGTTAATAAGTTCATTTACTTTTTGCATAATGGATCATTTTTGTGATTTGAGAAAAAGGAGGTTATGAAAGTACTATTTTGGGTAACCAAGTTTTGGGTTCATGTGTCTGTTTGTCCAGACTGAGTACTAGTAGGTTGACAGCACATGGGTGAGGATTGACAGACAGGAGGTCAAAAGGTCAGACACAGGAAATTGCTCAGAGAAATGGCAAGAATGGGGAATTCAGGAAGCTAAGGAATGCATATTAAGGAACACTCCAATAATTTCCAAAGTCTGAAATCTGTCATATTCTTGTTCAAATTTTGCCTGTCAGGATGAAAATTGGCTTGTACTTGACTTTCAGGACATTTTCCCGACTGGTTTAACCTCAAGGCAATGGTCCTACAAGCCAAGGCAAACTTGACCACAGCCCTTGCTGAAAGCAGAGTGGCCATGGATGCCTGGATGGCTCAAGCCAAGAAAGATCCCATCGCAGCATATATAGGCATGCATGAGGTATGTTTAGCCTTTAACCTACTGGAGTAGCCATTGGGCACAGAATTCTCATTGGTTATCGGCATAGGTAGAGATTAAGACCAGGACTCAAGATTACCTAGTTGCCCTGTATATTTGTTTACGACAATTTACAATTCATGTATTTGTCGTGTGGGGTCGTGTGGCGCAACGGCAGAGTGCGCGACTTGGAATCAAGAGGTCCCGGGTTCGAGTCCTGACATGCCACCAATCTTGTGCCCTTGGGAAAGGCACTTTACACGAATTTCCCCACTAGACTCAAGTGAAAATGAGTATCGTCTCAGTGTCCAGTATTCGTTTCTATGTGCGGGACACAACACCAGTAACAGCTGCCTCTGCTCCGCGTGTATTGCATTGTTGCAATTTCAATAAAATCAAAATCAAATGTATTTACAAACTCAATACTGTAGTTGGCATGCATAATTATGTATGCATGTTTGTATGTTGACAACATAACTCAAGAAGCTGTGAATGACTGCATGATATTTAGTAGATGTGTAGGGGTTGCAAAGAGGAAGGTCAAGTTCAAATATGAGCCTCAGAGCATGTACCTACATACATGTGTTACCTGACTGTCTGACCTACATCAACATATCTTTTTTTGTTTCAATCCAGTCCAAGTTGAAGCAGATCGTTAAGACTGAGCTTGACCTTGCCATGACGCGTCTGCATGACTCCATGGACCCCCTGGACGGAGTGGCGGACGAATTCCGTGATGACTACGACAGGGGCATCAAGGTGGTCACAGCCCTGAAGGAGGCCTACGTGGTGTTAGACGAACAGTAAGTCATCTTATATTTATTTAATATTTATTTATTTATTTCATTTTCACACACCTGGGTAGCCCAACTCAGCTTTGACAAGTTGATTTTCAGTGAGGCCCAGTTTACAGAAATAATAAAACATAAGTTAATACTTAAACAGAAGTAACAGAGAATTGTATGTAAAACATAAATAATGCAGGTAACCAAATTATACAAAATAAATACATGAGATTACTTAGAGACAAACAAAACTGTAGAGAACAAATCAAAATCGTTGTTATATCACCGTAACATTTGATACAGGGTTCAGGCCCATGTGATAACTACATATTTGGCTTATATCATACCTTGGCTGTGATAACCTGCATTTGCTTTGTGAATGTAACCTTAGTTTCTAGTTGAAAATTGATTCTTTCTTATTGCAGCTATCGGAAGGTAAAAGCGATGTATGTCAGGATTTTCGGTGCGAGGGCCCACGTCAAGTTTCCCCGGAGAGTCAACCAGGAGGGAGGGCCGGGCTGTCCGGGCGGGTTCTACCCGACTACGCACAACGGGAAATACTTCAACTGGGAGGGCATCGACCTGGCAGCCCACGCATCCACCACGGTTAGTACAGACATAGAGATGTGGGGTCGTGTGGCGCAGTCGGTAGCGCGTTCGGCTCACACCCCAGAGGTCGCGGGTTCCAACCCTGCCCATGTCACCGATTACACAACTTTCCTCACTTCACTCAGGTGGAAATGAGTACCTAGCTTCGGTTAGGGACGTCCCTCGGATAGGACGTTAAATGGAGGTCCCGTGTTTGGGAGAGCCACACCCCACGCACGTTAAAGAACCCACCGCACATATCGAAAAGAGTAGGGGATCTTCCCGGTGTGAGTGGTTCAAAACCTTAAAGTCCGGTCTTACGCAGCTTGTACATGTACGCACATGTACAAAACTGATGTGTTACGCTTAAAGGCGGTTTACCGGTTATGCAAAACAAACAAACAAACCCTGAAGTAGAATTGATTTAATTTATTGAACACTCAGGATAAAGAGCTTTATTCTGTTAGACTTTACAGGAACTTACATATGTAATATGGAGAAACAATGTTGGATGTTTCGGCCCCTGGTCAGTTTGGCCTCCAGATAAATACACCAGTACCTATGACCCAAATCCATGACTTGTTTGGGTCTTGGACTGGAGTTTCTTTCACGATTTTTGTATGCGATGGACACCCTCAGGCCAAAGGGCTACAATTGTGCCAAGAAAAGGAGGCCGGAAAATCTCACTTACTGACACATTCACTCACACTCACTCACTCACTAACTAACACACTCACACTCACTCATACACACTCAAGCTCACTAACTCAGTCACACTCACTCAATCACTTACTCATACTCACATGCACTCACACTCACTCAAACTCACTCACACTCACTAACTCACTCACACTCACTCATTCACACTTACTCAATCAATCACTCACACACCTGATGTTGTTTGTGTTTGTTCTCCCCAGCTGTATTCCCCGTTCACCGGCATGATGAAGAAGAATGTGACAGGTACGGTCACCATCAACTGTACCGACTCCAACGCCCTGGGCATGATGGCCTTCATCTCAAACATCTCTCCCAACGCTACCCTCTTCGCTGATCCTAATGCCACAGAGGTGGAGGTAGGTACTGAAAGACAAGAAGAGAAAGACGCCTTTTTGATGCCATAGGAGCAATGGGTTGTTGATCAACTGTGTCTAGGACATGATATCAAAGAAGGATACAAAAATATAGTACTTAGTCTGGTATGTCTCATTGTTCCCTAAAACTTGCCTTTTCTGTCTTCAGGTTTTTGCTGGGCAGGCGATCGGAACAGTTTTTGCCTCCGGGTGCAACAACCACATCCACTTCGCGGTGTACAGGACGGCTGTCCCACCCAAGTGGCTCCCTGGAGGCTGGATGGACGTCACTAAACTACTGGAGCCAAGAGGCATAGAACTTCCAGTGTGGACTCAGGACTGTGACGACTACAAATTTGTCTATAAGGTAGTAGCTTTTCCGTATTTTTTAGGGAGGCTGAGCTGTGGGTTTGCGTGTCAGTATGGATAGAGTATGATGATAGCACGTGGGTGGGTGATAGGCAGAATGACAGGAGGTCAAAATATAAGGTTATGCACGGGAAATGAAGAGCTTGGGTTGACAGAACATGGGTGGGGAAGATAGGCAGAATGACAGCAGGTCAAAAGGTCAGACTCAGGAAATGGGGTCATGAAAGCCCATTAAAAATATTTCCTGAAAGTCTGAAAACAAGGCTGCCAGTTTAGAATACAATTATTATAAGAAAATGCTATTTACCTAGTATAAAAAAGAAAATTGGTTGCCAGAATCAAATACACAAATGCACATGACTTGTATAAGAAAGATAGAAATGTTGCTTCTACAATAACTTTGTAGAAATTTCAAACTGCATGGTACTGAATTATTCATCATTAATTTGTTTTTCAGAGATATCTGATTCATCATTTGATTGTCATGCTTATTAGATATTTGACACACATTTTCTGACACATTCATGAACTCTTGCTGTTCCAGTTTAAGACCCTTGCCAGTGGTTCAATTGTGGGTCTGGCAGGGAGACAGAATAAGAACACAAGTCCAACCAGGACAGCAACTCAACCAGACACCTCCAGCATCAAGACTATGTCTGCACGGAGCGGCCGCAGGAGGAAGAAACGTGCTCTTCTCAACGGGAGACAGATCGGAAGTAGGGCAGATTTTGTGTTTTATCCAGAACCCTACTCAGACTTGGTTCTACAAAACTGTATTTTGTACAATGTGTAGTACTACACATTACTAGATGTGTATCAAGAACCTGATCCTAACTCTGACCCATTCATGCATAGAACTAGATATGAACCATAGGGTATAGAATTTTCTTCTTACACAACCATTAAGTTTCTCACCTGCTTACGTTTCGATGTCTATCAGACACCTTCCTCAGAGCTTCTGACTGGAGTTCTGCAACTCGCCGCTATTTAACGCCAAAGTAGGTGGCACTTTTGCGTAAGCAGGTGAGAAACTCTATGGTTGTGTAAGAAGAAAATTCTATACCCTAAGTATCTTCCAACCTGATGAAATTATTTACGGAAATTAGATATGAACCATTCTGAATAAGAAATGTGCACTTCTTAATGGACATGGGGAGATTTGGTGTTGTATCCAGAACTGTGCTTTATCGAGAAACATGCTAAGGTACGGTTCTGGATAGTCCAAGCATATCCAGTACTCACAGTGCTCTATCCAGAACCGTGCCTACGTTCTTGGATACACAGAGACTAATATTCAGAACTGTGCCTGATCCTAACCCATTCAGGCTTACATGTAGTTATAGATAGACACAGTTTATGCCTGAAGGTCACGTGCCCAGTGGGATCAAGTATTAAGTGGCTGCAGTATGTGCAGAAATTCAGGAAGCGGTGTAATACCTGATTGAATTACATCCTGCAATTCCCTTCACTGCTCCAGTACATTCACAAAAACCAAGAACACTTTCCAGAAGTTTGAAATCCCTAATATTTGTTTGTTTATTTATTTCTTTGTTTTCTTGTTGTGTAGTGCACCAGCAGCAAGGGTTGGCTATCGTCATGCCTGGCGTAAACGGCTCCGGACCGTCAACATTTCAGTTCGGGTCAACAACTATCAACGACCTTCTGAATGTCCTCCAAGCACTGGGCATGAATGACAGCTACGACGCACTGAATGATGTGGCAGACTCTTTGACAGTAAGTTATAAAAAGGATGAATTTCAGAGGTTATAAAATGTTGTGATTTTTGCTGACGATAGAGTTTTTATCAAACAGACGTTGATGTGTATTTAATCCAAGAATTACCTCTTGTAGTTTGATTTGAATGTTTCTTCATGTTGTCATATTTTGTCTTTACCTCATGACCTTGATGAAAAGTAGCCAGCAATTTGAGTATTCTATGAACAAGGGCTCAAATAAACAATAGGAGACACAGAAATACACTGTAAATCCCTTTATGTTCGTGAAAGCAAAAGTTTGTGGAATGAGAAAAATGGAAATGTTTGCGGAACTAAATGTTCGCAGTGGCTGCAGGTGCAACTAAAAGAAAGTTGGCAAATTATTTGTTCACGTACCATCAAGTACCATGAAAAAATTGTGATTTACATCATATATACATCAATTTTATTACTTGCATATTCGGAAATATTTGTAATGCTCAACCTATGTGGAATATGTGTATGTCATAAGTACAATAAAATACAAACAATCATTCTAGGTCTATCTCCTGACTTATTGTTCTTTTCTCTCCAACTCCCAGTTGCTGCTGTTGAACAAGCCGTGTAAGCGTGCCGACAAGATGACCTTCGCACAGCTGCAGAACGAGCTCGCACTGCGGTACGAGAACTCTACGGGAACTCGCGACGAACTGGTGGCAAGGATGAAGACCTCAAATGCCAACTGTAAGCGATGACAGTGTTAGCCAGCGTCTGTTTTTGACGGAAACTTGCTGCTCATGACAGACAAAAATTTTGCCCAATCCGTCATAGTTGCTGGACAAAAATCCAGGTATTTAAACTGTCAAGATATGGGCAGAATATTTCAAAGATCTTCAGGAAATTAGTGCAACTTTTTGGTGAAGCTGATTTAGATAATTTCTGATGCCTGTTGGGGCGCGGCTACAACCCCATCTAGCTAGCATAAAAGAATATATCAGTGGAAGGCATTTCAGCACCATATTACAGAACCATTCAGTCTATCTTTAACATTTGGTCTTACATTCTAGGGTAAAAGAGAACTTGTATAGTACATGTAGTGGATAGTAGTGATTAAATTGTACTTTAAAATTTGTATGTCACTCCAAATATAAGACATTTGATATGATTCTTAATTTTCATGAAAATAGTGATAAAGGTTGTTAATGAAAATTTTGATATGTCTGGTCGTTTCTAAAACGTTTAGCAATATTAATCAACATGCTTACATTGCAGATTGTCCGTTCCTGACTATGAAGATGCCGCCCAATGTCTTCTGCACATTTTCGGATCTGTGTCTGGGAATAACCTGCTGTGTGGAATTAAAGGTATAACCAGCACGTCGACAGAATGTACTGCGCCTGCGCAGAACCCCGTATTTTCGTGTTGGGTTTTTGGTCAACGTTGCATCAGAATTTTGCCTGTTGCAGAGGATATTCTTTCCTACATAACATTTGGAAACTACTGTCGAAATGCTAACCTTATATGAGTGAATACAACCTTATATGAGACATTCTGCCGAAGTATATGTACAATACATTACAGTCACATTCATATATGGTGACTGGAGTCTAAATTCCTCCTGCTATAAAATTGCAACATGATGTAACCCAACACTAGTTATCATGGTAACAGACGTCTAGTTCAGGTCATTGACCTTATTTGTTTGGAGAAGAAGAAGAGGAAGAAGAAACAGAGCAAAAACAATGTTTTCCATCTGTGAACTTCAAGGTAAACGTAATAACTGTAACAGTACAACAATTTGTTACATACTACTTAGGCTCTTGTAGTCACTGTCGAATGTTTTTTTTTTTCTTCAGATGTGGAAGTTCTTTAAGACCGTAAAGGCTCACGCCACCTTCAACATCTCAACGTTCACCTTCTCCTTCGGAATAGAGACTGCTGGGATTGATCCGTTCTTGTACGAATACCAGATAGTTAAGGAGAAGTTCTGGGGTAAGTTTTAGCAGAATGTTTGTTAATCAGGTAAATGACCTTGTTTATAGTTAAGACTTAATTCAACACAAGAAATGTAGCTCTAGGGAGTTTTTGCCGCGGAGAGAAGGATTCGCGCTCAAATCCTTTGCAAAAACTCCCTCGGCAGCAAATCGCCCCTCGCGGCGGCATATTACTCACGTCGCTCACAGAAAAAAGTAGCCTACGCCCAACAAGTCTGCAAAGGAGGCTACTCTCACCCAGAGTTTTTGACCAGTCACTCTGGTCTTCTTCAATAGGCTGACCAAGGTATCTTTGATCCAGTGTTGACACGTGAGCAGCCACATGACAAGTCTCACAGGGTCAGAATATTTAAAGTGATTCAGACTCACTGGTCAAAAGCTCTACATTGTAAGAGAACAATTTCTTGTGTTAAGGCATATTTTGAAGTTTTCACTTTAAACAATTTGAATGTAACTGCCAACACAGATACTCATAGGCAATTCAAACTCTACTACTGGATAAATAATGGAGATAATATCCGGATGTTTTGAGTGACATCCACCACTCTTCTTCCGCGTCACTAAATGAACTAACAAAACTTGATAATTAAAGCGTATATGAGCAACAGTTACTGGGCTCATACATGTATATGCTTTCATTATCGAGTTCTGTTAGACCAAGTTCATTAGACACTGATAACATCTGGATATTATCTCCATAATTTATGCTGTTACTGTAGTAGAGTTTGAATTGCCTATGAGTATTGTTTACCTGGATGTCCAACCTTCATCAATGTATCAACACAGATGCATGATGATGTCTGACACTGTTCTTTTGTTTCAGGTGAGACAAAGGAGATAGATACAGGTATAGATCTGGACTTCACAGGAGAAAGCCCCATGAGAGTAAAGATAAGGTAAGTCTTTTCCTTCTCCTATCCTGATTCTCATGATCCAGGAATGCCAGAGATAGAACCTGTGACCTCTTAAACTCGTGCGAATTGGCCACTGGGCCATTCAATGGCACAGAACTGAGAGCAAGAACTAACCAGTCCCCACTGTCCAGTAAAATCTGGTTAGCTCGTCTTCACCACTTTGGTCATATTGTAAGGGCAGAACCACCTTTATGTATTGAAAATGCAACAGTGCAATACACGTGGGACAAAGGCACTGTTGCTGGTGTTGTGTCCCACACATAGAAACAAATACTGAACCGACAATATGCATTTTCACTTAAGTCTGGTGGAGAAAGTCATGTAAAGTGCCTTTCCTAAGGGCACAAGATCGGTGGCATGTGAGGACTTGAACCCAGAACCACCTTTGGAACTAGGCTCTCTTTAAGAGAACCGCTTCCCCCACCTGGTCCCGCCCTAGAGGGAGACTGAGGCGTACATGGACGGACCAACTGTCCACCGAACACCAGGCCGCAGGACTGGACATCACCACCGACTGGGTGGAATGTCAGATGACTCGGACCTACAGTTCGAAGTTGTCTAACAAAAGACGCGGTGTCCATAAAATCATGTTGATTGGCGGTTTGGGACTTCAAAAAACCTCATAGTCAACATGGTTGATTTGGTGGTGGGCTGAGTTAACCAGGGCGGTGGGCCGAGTTGACCAAATTTGCGATGGGCAGAGTTGGCAATGGTCCGTCATCCTGATTCTCGCCTGGGTGGCAGCCAGAGAAAGGCGGGCCTGGAGGGCTGTATGCAGAGGTGCTACGTCCCCTGGAGGGGCTTGTGGAGCTGAGTGAGCTGAGTGAGTGAGTGAGTGAGTGAGTGAGTGAGTGAGTGAGTGAGTGAGTGAGTGAGTGAGTGAGTGAGTGAGTGAGTGAGTGAGTGAGTAATGTTGAAGACTGTTTCTATTTTTTTCCATCGCAGAATCATGATGGAGTACTACAAGCCTGCCCTGTTCTACCTGACCTTCAGTGTGGGAACCTGCAGCGACAAATGCCTTGATTTTTTCGTCCTGTTAAATCGAGCGCCGATACCCTTACCCACGCGAGGAGAAAACGGAACGATTGTCTGGCCCTCGGTGAACATGACGACCTTGGCAGAGAGTGCCATGTCCTCTGCACAGCTGGCCAGGGTCACAACCGAGGCACTGCACATGCTCGGCCTGCCAATTGTAAGTTTAGCCTCTAGTTATTTTCTTTACAAGATAACCAATAAACAATTACAAACATCTGCAGTTTCTAGGATAATGGATAGAGGGCTGTACTTAGAATTAATGATAATAATAATATTATATGATAATAGGATGCCTAGACCTGTTTTTATTTTAAATTTTTTTCGCCCTGTCGCTTCGTATTTTTCCTGAAAAAATCTGAGAACCAACTAATTAAATTGGTGTGGCCTTCTTCGTATTTTTCCTGAAAAAATCTGAGAACCAACTAATTAAATTGGTGTGGCCTTATGTTATATTTCCTTATTTGCAGGGCTTGCTAGAAGGAAAACTGCCATGTGGTCTGCCAAACCAACTCACAGAGGCAAAGCTGAAGTACAAGCTGACAACTTACGGCCTGTCTCTCATCGGCAACACCACTGTGCTTACCAAGCGGCTAAAGGATCATGAAATGAGTGAGTGTTTTGAAATTGTAGTAAATTTCTGAAGATGTAGTTGTAACTTGATAGAAAATTTTTGGACTTTTGTGCAGTGGTATAATTATGTAGGATTACTATTGGTAAATGATACATTGTACATAATGTATTGCAACAGAGAATCGTAGACTTTAAAAACCTCTAAATGTGACCACAACAAAGTTTTTTGTAGCATCTGATTGCTTTTTTTTGGGGGGGGCAGGGCCACTTTGGTAAAGAAGCCACAGTAACTTTTGTGGATGAAATATACACACACATGTTTTTTTAAATCAAGAAATTGCTTTTCCTCTGTGGTGATCAACATAAAAGAAAATATCCCGAAAATGTAAAAATCCCCAAATGCCACAGATGTTAGATTGCTAGCCTTGAATGTGTAGTAAACATGTTGTACAATTTACTCGTGAAAGTAGTAGTCTTGTACATGTAGTAACTGATGTAGAAGTGATGCCGCTAGCTGTACATGTAGGCACCTTGATTAGTTGTGACAGTCATATTTGTACAATGTACCTCACTAGTGTGCCTTTCTGCGCTTCTTGAATGCAGGAATAAAGTCTTGTTAGCTGTGATTATTTGGAGTTTATTGTGTTTTTATTCCTCCCTTTCCAGCCTGTAAGAATGAGTCTGGAGCTGCTTTAGCCATGTTACCCCTGGTTCCCTGGAACATGGTCAACTACACTTACTGTAGACTGGAGAGCACATGTCTGGGTAAGTACAGTGGTCTACAGTTATGAAGGAAGGAAGGAATGAAATAAGCAAAAGAAGGAAAGAAGGAATGAAAAGTAGGGTTAGGAATGAACGATACAAAGAATGAAAGGAAGGAAAGAAGGAAGGAGATTGATTATTAGGCTGTTATATTCAGAATAGTTCATTCAATGGAATATTCATATCAAAACTACATGTACCAGAGAGAGTGTAAATTGATAAAGCCGTTAAATCTTTTCTAACTGGATAATTGAAAGTTTAATGCGTTATCCATGCAGTTAGAAAAAAATTTAACGGCTTTATCAATTTATCTTTATCCTGGATGAGTAACCTTCACCAACGTATCAGAGAGAGTGTAGTGTAGAAACTTTGGGTATCTCTTGTTGATATTGGAACTTCTATATACTGTTACATGTAATAACATCATAATTTTTCTGGCTAACCAATATCCTTACACTTAACAAGATCTACCTGTACCATTGCTTTAGATTACGGTAGCAATGGTTGGCACTCCAAAGCACTAACCTCAGTTCCTAGATTAGTTATTGGGACCACTTTTGTTTTATAATGACAATGACAATGACAATGACAATGACAATGACAATGAACTGACAATGAACTTTATTGCATGTTCACGCCCTACACGGGCCAAATGCACTTAAGTTAAATAACTTGGTAACAAGAATAGAAGAATCCATTGTTCCATTGTTACATTATAAGAGCCTGTGGTGGTTGCAGCTGAATACTGAAATTTGAAATCTGTACTGTTGAAATCTGTAATGATCATGTTGTTTTTTTCTGCAGATATCAGATGTTGTATAGAGGTTGGTATCCCCCTCCTGAACTGGACCTGGGTGTTCAATGCTAAGGTACACCTGGACGTGTGTAACTATGAAATCGTGGTGGGGTTTGAGAGCCTGGAACAGAGACTACTGTTCCTCAACGACTTTGCCTGGGGTAAGTTTTCTCTGGAATGTTTAATTTGCAAGTATTTCCATTTGAATGTGATTTTGTGCTTTTTTTAGTTTATCAACATCTTTGTACACTCAGTCAACTGACAGAGAAATTTTACATGTCATGAACATGTTTTTTTTTAATTATCTTTTAATATGTACAGTTGGTAATATGCCTCTGAATGTTATTTAGTCCTTTAGCACTTTGAAAAATTATAATTGTGACATTTTTAGCATTACTAACATTCTCATTGATTTGTAGAATTCAGGAAATGGAAGAAAAGAGACTTTCAACTTTTCAATGAATGTCTTTTTCATAAATCAACAATTTTAATATCATCTGTTATAGATAGTTTTACCCACTTAAAATCATCAGTGGACTGCCTTAAGCAAAACTAACTTGACCATGTTAAAATTGGATACTGAAAACAAATCTGTAACTGTCATTTCCATTTAACTTTAAATCCAAGAAACAGCATCAAATGTTATTATCAGCTGGTCTTGCAATATGAAGTAAATATCAAAATACAATTTTTCCAGTTCTTGATATTCAAATTCACCATTTTTGTTGAACTTGACACAGGTGTGAAACAAAACGTCAAGCTGGCCGAGGGAGTCACAATAGAAGTCACGGTTGCCAGGGACAACGTGAACTACACAATAGACGTCGGCGCTCGAATCTGTTCTGACTACAAGTGCTACAACACCAGAACGTTTATTAACCAGTACAAGGCACCAATACCTGAGTGTGACATGGTGGAAATAAATGCAGCAAGTAAGTTTTTACCTCAGAGTCTGTGTGCATATGTTTTGTTTTAGTGTACATGACTTTGTACAATGTACATGTGTCTGTCTGTGTGTGTGTTTGCTTGTGCTTCTGTAGTTATTTTCACATGTCAATAAGCATTTTAGGAACAATGACAGGAAGTTAGGTCAAAGGTCCCAGAAAAGGTTATCTCATTTCCTGCTGTCTGCCTGTCTGTTGCCAGTGGGACATCAGACAGAATCAGCAAAAAATTCATGAAGACTCATTAATACTTCACTAGTTAATCCTTTTATGCATGTGTAATGCCATGCTGTTGAGTAAGCCTTTAAGGCATTATATTATGCTACTTATTGCTACTTATTACAATATGTAAGCCTTTAGGTCTTTCTTTAGAAGTGCAATAAAAAGTCATTCATTCAATCAATCAAAACAGTCATTTTCATTCATTCATTCAGTGAGAGTTAAAATCATCTTTTTTAAGTTTTGACAAACAAACAAGATGAACAGTTAAAAAAGACCTAGGTCAATCCCTTAGTATGAGTTAATGCATGTAATATGATCTCTTTCTTTCGTTCATTCTTTCCCAGCTGTTCAGCGTTTCCTGACGTCTGCTGGTAGTCAGGTGCACCTGGACTTGGTGGACGTCATCATCAAGAGTTTTGGTCTGAACGACATCTTTGTACCAGCCGGGCAGACAGCTGAGATGCCTGGCAGTAACACTAACAGTACCAGAAGACGACGAGAAACAAGTATGATCTACTTTTGACAAAATATTTAATATAATATACAGAAACACACAACAAAAGTTCAGCTACACTGGGGAGCTTTTGAGACACACTCTGTCTCTTCTTCAACCCGATATGATGTGTTTGTTTGTTTGTTTGTTTGTTTGTTTGTTTGGTCCAGTTTTCATAACTAGTTAACTTCCTCAAGACATACATTGTGACCTACCAGTTTTGTCACTGTGACAGTAAACACAAGTTGTGTAAGACTGGACTGTAAGGTTTGCACCTTTCTATTAATGATTCAAACTGGGATGGACCCTGAATCTTTTTGATAATTGCTTATAATGGCATGTAGACTTAGAATCTGAAGATTCTAGGTTCAAATCCCTGGCAGGCCACAATATTTGTGAATTAGGAAAAAACACGTACTTAACATCCGTGTCCATAATATCACCAGGGTCCATAGTATCGCCACCTAAAGAAATAGTGTGTTTTAAGATATTTTTACTGCAACATACTTTTGGTATGCACTCCTGCACACCTCAAATGTACATACTTAGGGTATGTTGCACTAAAATATCTTTAAGCACACTTTTTCTCAAGGTGGCAATATTATGGACTATGGTGATTTCATGGACACCGATGTTATACCACTCAGGTGAAACTGAGTACCTAATGTACACTTGTAGCTTAATTTATGGACAGTCCTCACAGGTCATGTAAATCTGGAGGGCCAGTGTGTTTTGAGGTGAGCCACACCTTGAGCATGTTAAAGATCCCACCACACTTACGGAAAAGTGTAAGGGTCCATCTCATGATCAGTTTAAATGGTACAGATTTGTGTCTGTTACCAGACTGGGTGTACATGTACATGTAATACTAAGTGACTGTCATTCTTTTAAAAAATGTGGCAAATCTAAGTCACTCCTGCTCCGCTCGGAGACCTTCTGCTCTGGAGCCATTACTGTAGACTGGTCCGCCCACCTTAAGGGCTCGAGAGTCTTTTACCTATTTGTACCCACCTAGATGTTTTATTTTAGATGTGTTTGTGTAATGTCGTGTGTCTGTGCTATGGGCCATTGAGCCTGAAATAAACAATAAATAAAATAAATAAATAAATCTGAATGGATTAAAGAAAATAACAGAAAAATGGTCTAAAATAACATGCCATTCTTTCCCTCAGGTTCCTGTGGATTAGACCTTGATTTTTCCTACCTTCCTGATGGAACCACCTGTGAAGTGAACCCAGCCTGCCATGGACTGGACTGTGTGGTGGACATGAACCTGCTGAACTACACCACAGTGTCAGCTGCTGCTGCTGTCAGCTTCGACTACTGTAACCTGCAGTTTAACATCCACATGGGCAACTGGAGTTACGCACTCAAACTCATGACATACACATGGGGACAAGTGCAGGTAAAGCAGCACGTCGGCAGAACGTATTGCACCTGCGCGAAACCCATAATGTATTGTGCATAGCACTTCGGCAGAACGTCAGGTTGTATTCGCTCATATATGGTTAGCATTTCAACAGTAGTTTCCAAATGTTGTGTCAGAAAAGATATCCTCTGCAACAGTGAAAATTCTGATGCAACGTTGACCAAAAATGCAACTAAAAACGCGAAAATCCAGGGTTCTGCGCAAGCGCAATACGTTCTGCCGACGTGCTAGGTAAAGCTATGCTCTTATTAAAGATCTCATGTGTTTAACTGAGTAGGCATTCCTAAACAATGTTGATATGATTAAATGATATAATGTACTAAATTAAATGTTTAAAACAAAGACAAGAAATCAAAGATTTCACACATACAAGAAATGTTTACAATCGGTACATTTTAAATTTCTTGTTTTATGTAATCAATAATTATTGCAAATTTATTGCAAATTTCACTGTCACCTCCTCCCAGGATCGAAAACGATCATTAAGAATGTGCCAAATTTGATTCAGGACTTAATTGTACTTGAAGAAGCAACAACTGAAGACCATACTACACACCTAGTCAACATTTATTCATTCATAAATGTTAGGTCAACTTCAACATACATGTAACCTGAACTAGCTGTGTTTACTTTGGCTACCAATACTATTCTCTATGGTTAGACAGCAAGGAAGATATTTTACTAATCGTTGTAAAACTGTATTCCTTTCTTTGACCATTTTTACCACAGGAAAAGAAGATTGGGGACGAACTAAAGCTGAAATACTCCATTGGGAAGAATGCCAGCCCTACTGTCTATGTGGTGAACTTTGAGGCCACCCTCTGTATCAACGTAACCTGCACAGAACCTGTCCAACTAATCAACAACTTGGAAATCCCCGAACCTGTCTGTAATGCCAGTCTAACTGACTCTCTTGGTGTTGGTAAGTATGGTATTATTTATTTACCTTTAGGCCACACCATTTGATTTATTGGTTTGCCAATTTTTGCAGAAAATATGAAAATTCAGGGCAAAGAAAAAATAAAAACAGGCCTAGGCATCTTATAATGCAATAACAGGAGCCATGAAGTCAACATATCAGGTTATTGTTTTGGGTTGCTGATCTGTGTGTTTATTTATCTAGACAGGGTAGGTTGACAGCACGTGTTGGTGAAGATTGACAGGCAGAATGACAGGTGACAGGTCTCAAAATCTGCCAGAAGCTAACAGGAGAAATTTGACATGGGAGAAACTTAGGAATCCAAAGATGCATACTTTACTTTGCCATTGTTTTTCTCATAAAAAACTTTTTTTTTTTACAGAGTCAGTTAGTGAGCTTGAGCAGTATGTCCAGGAAAATGGCCTGGCTGCCGGTGACGTGCTGCCTCCCACAGCCAGGGAAACTCTGCTGAACACACTTGGACTGACACACTTCTTTGAAGAGAAGCCTTGTACCAGACCAAAAGTGTTACAGGAGGGCTATGCAGGAAGAGAAAGTAAGATGTTAATAACAAGCCGCGATATAATTATGGAAAAACGTTTTAATTATGGACTCCCGCCCATAAATCCCAAACGCTTAACCCAACTGTCTTAATACTTTTTATGGTAATATATTAGGTGGTAATGAATATGCGGAAAGCGTTGATGAGTCCCTTGGGAATAGTCCAATTATACATAATTATACTATAATTATGTATAATTATACATAATGATTTTGGTATTATCTATAATTATACATAACCCTTAGGACCGTTATACATAATTATAGATAACCCTTTGGACCATTATACATAATTATACATAACAATTTGAATCATTATACATAATTATACATATTTATACATAATGTCTATGACCATTACATATAATTATACATAACCCCTGCACTTATATCATGCAGTTATCCATAACTTTGGGATTATACTTCCGAATAGAAGCACAGGGAGTCTTATTTGCAATGATTTCCATCCATACATGTACCTGTTTACAACTCAACTCAACTCAGTCAAACCTGCTCAAGCCAGCCACCCAGGGGACCGGAGAAAAATGGTCGGGTTGGACAGGTGGTCTGCTTGAAGTGGGTTTATTCTCCTGACTCACAACATGACTGAGAGTTAATTGTCTCCGATACGGCAGGTATCAGGTCCTAAACTTTACTGTTTCTGGCAAATAAAGCAATACAATTAAATGTATAGATAATTATGCTTACATTTTCAAAGGGAAACATGCTGTTTTTGCTCGTTTTCTTCTTCTTCTTCTTCTTTTTCCATTCCAAACAGGTCAATAACCTGGATCAGACGTCTGTCACCATGATAACTGGTGCTGTAGCATACACCCTGTAGTGTTGAGTTATATTATGTAGCAAGTGGCGAACAAATTCTTCTGCATGATTTTCTGCTGTTAACAGTTTCCCTACAGCCTAACCCAGTAACCAGTAGTCAGAAGGGTACTTAGTGTGCTAAAGGTTAATCTTGATGTAACATCATAAAATTCAGCACCAAGGACAGATGCAATTATTTTGACATAATAAGATAAAGAGCATTAGATATAAACTGAGATACAGACTGAGATTGCTTTTTGCATAAAGGAAGAAACTTAAGCACATCCCTCTCTTTCCACAACCTTTTACCTCCCCAACCAAAGTCAGGTACCCATTTTACACCAGGGTGGAGTGAGGGAAGGTGTGTAAAGTGCTTTTTCCAAGGGCACAATGTCTAGCCTGAGGAACGCATGGAATTAAACCCTTGATCTCATGTCTGCTTGCATTAGCAGTCAGCCATTAGACATCACATGACTGTAGTATTAACAATATTTAAGATATTGAACAGAAAGGGAGAGAGGGGGGAGAGAAAGAAAGTTAAAACATTTAAAAACATTTGGGATCTTTGCATTAGAAATAACAAGTATAATTTCAACTTTCTCACAGACTGTCCAGACATGAACAACCCCACCCTCCCTGATGCTGTGACCTGTGCTGTCCAGTCGGACTGTCTGGGGGTGTCCTGCTGTGTGGACATGGACCTACAGCTGCTGACCCTCACCACCACAGCAGCTGTCCAGCTGGACATCTGTAACTTCACCTTGAACCTGAGGATGGGCCAGTTGAACTTCCACCAAGTTCTGTTCCTCTATCAATGGGGTATGTTTATTTATAATTAGAACAATTGCTAGATTATTTTATATTGGGTAAATGGTGCTAAATAAAAGCATGGATTATGAACTTTGTCTTACAGGTACTTGTACAATTTCTTCCATGTATGGAAGTATTGTTTTGGGTGGGTTTGTCTGTGGGTTTGTGTGTCCAGACAGAGTAGGTTGCCAGCATGGGGGAACTTTAACAGGCAGAATGGCCGGAGGTCAAAAGGTTAGACACAGGAAATGGGGTTAACCAGCTGGAATTAGATGTTGACATGGGGGAATTCAGGTAGCCCAGGATTGCAGGAGCAACCATCCAACGCTAAGTCCAAACAGATTCTGTTCTAGTTCTGATTCAAGTAGTACTACATATTACTAATACCGTAAAACTCCTTTTCTGACCAATAGGAAGTGAAGTGACAATGAACATCAACGAAACCGTCATTGTGACCTACAGCATTAGGCAAGACGACGCAGAAAACCGTTTTGCCATCACGGTAAAGCTCACGCTAACCATCGATGGACAGGTGACGGCCCAGTTCCACCTCCTGAGGAACAGTTTCATGCCTCGTGCTGTCTGTGATCCCAACGCACCTATGACATCTCTCAGTAAGTCTTATCCACTGGATAATTCATTCCATTTGAGTTGATTTTGGGGGTAAAATGTGTTTTTGTATACAAAAATACAAACAAAAAGTGGCAACAGATAAATAACTAGTACCCTCTGATCTAAAAATCAAAAAAATTGACACAAGGAAATGTAGTGACTTTTCTAAAGCAGACTTTAAAACAGATTGATGCAGTTTCCACTCCAGCCTTCATCAGTGTGATTGACCAATCAGTAAGGAGAGATAACTTTTCAAGCACTGTGATTGGTTAAAAGTACTGAACGGTTTATCACACAGATGTCATGAGGGATAGATAATTTTACAGGCATTGTCATTGGTCAAAAGCAACAAACACACAGATTGCTAAGGGACTTTAGAGGCATTGTGATTGGTTGAAATAAATAAATAGTTTCTCACAAAGTTGGCAAGGGGAGAGGTGATTTTACAGACACTGTGATTGGTCAAAAGAAATAAACAGTTTATCACACAGATGGCTAAATGTCTTTCTATGCTATTCCAGGTGGGGAGGGTGAACGATCGATAGCAGGTTTCATCGAGGCCCTGAACATCACAGCTGACACTGTAGTGGGAGACTACGCCATTCTGGCGCTGCTGAGCTACAATGGGATAGCAGGGGTGTACGACCTGACCACAAGCTACACACCACCTGTAGTATCTGGGGGTTTTGCAGAAAGTAAGTACAATAAATTATGATAATCATTATATTTCCAATCCTACATATTAGATGACTGCACTTCCCTAGAAAAATTATTAATATGGATATAATTGTAATTCAGATAGAATACAATGTAGAGGACTAATACCACTTGATGTATAGGTTATGTAATTTAGCAATTGTTTAGCATATTTTGTTCTAACGTTATAGCAAACATGAAGAGAGAAATAAACTATTTTGTACAGAATTCATTTCTCCACCTTCCAACTGTAGACAAATTCATGTTTCTAATGCAACTACACAAATCTTTCATGATCACAAAAAATTAATCTGTTCCTTAATTTCTTCTATAACTAAAAAGCAAAAAGAGGTTGATGTTTTAAATCTTAGCTAAATGAACATGCATGAGATTTGAATTCGTGAATTTATCATTTTTGTCCACATTTAATATTTTGTTGTGACCTGTACCTGTGTAACAAAACATCATAATCATCATGTAACAAAAATATGCAATAAAGGTTTATTACAATTATGAATTTCTCATAAACTACATGTACAATGTATGTCTGAATATTTAGATTATTTGATCTACACAGGCTGCTCAGGTGTTGCATGGCCACAGCCGCCACCTGGCTACACCTGCCAGCTGACCAGCAGCACCTGTACGGGCATCACCTGCTACGGACAGGTGGATCTGGACCTGGTGACCTTCAACTCCAAAACCTGGATGGACTTTAACCCCTGTAACTACGAGCTGACTGTAGGAGTCAGTAATAAGGAGTACAGCTTTTCTCTGCTGCAGACATACAACTGGGGTTAGTAAAATTTCTTTTGAATCCAATTTTTGGCAAAGCCACAGGGGCAAGCCTAATACTAAAATTTGTTGTCAGTCTGCAGGCATTGTAGCTGACTTTAGGAGTCAGTAATTATGTCTACAGAATCTTCTTACTGCAGATATATAACTGGGGTTAGTAATATTACTTTTAAATGAAATTTTTGGTGATGCCTCAGCGGCGAGAGATTTTTGAATTATCAGAGGCAGGTACCACTATATGACATTGCAAATTAAAGTTTTAATAAGTTTTTATTCATTTTGCTTTTCCAGGTGAACAAAGAACAGTTGAATTTGGAACTGTCTTCAGACTGAACTATGCCATCGGCAAAGACGATGACAACAGCACGTTTGTGTTGGATTTCTCCCTGAGCATCTGCAAGGAAGCAAACGTCTCTCACTGCAGTGAGCTCGTCTTTCTGGAAGGAACCGAAGTTCCTCAGCCACCATGCTTCACACAAAACACCTGGACACCAACACAAGGAGGTAGGACGTAATTTTGGGGCACTAAAATTCTAGTAGTTACAAAATACCCCAAATTCTCAGAATTGACTCTGAATTATGTTTAATTATGACGCTTGAATTGCTGTGATTTTGGTTTGCTGCATATACAAATCATGGAATCTTAAAGGCATGATTTTGTTATACACAAAAGGCATGCAGAAGCGCACAGCCCCATTGTGATTCGGAACTGTGCTATTTAGAGTGCTGACATTGCACAAAGGAGCACAAGGGAGGGTTTATATGCCAACAGATGATAATTCTAGGAAGTAGAAAATGCATACTAGTACATGATAAAGTACCCACTAGTCGCATGCACAAAAAATGCCAATAGTACTCTTGAAAACTCTCTAAATACCTTTGGAATACATGTAATTTCAGAATGCACTGTGCCCATTAGGCCACACCAATTTATTTTCTTGGTTAACGGATTTTTGTAGAAAAAAAATGGAGCGGGCGGGCGAAAAAAAATAAAAATAAAAATTTGATACTACCTGCCATACAGCCATGTAGTGTGAAATCCAGACTGCTTATTAAGTTACGAAAATACTGGGAAAGAAACAAAAGGCAAGAGAGGATGTACCGTATTGTGTTTTATTTGCTATCCACACCATTGGGTTGATAATCTTTTCGTACACGAGCAAAATGCAGAAAACAAGTTTTAGCATGTTACTTCCAAGTTCCACCATCATCATATGTACTCTAAAACATGACACGAATGTTAACTCTCACAAGCAATTTTAACTTCAAAGGGGACAAAATTTATTCAATTTTACATGTACTGTACCTAGATTCTGCTTTGATCCAAAGTTCCAGCTTTCTCAAACAATTTAAGCTTCCGCCACAAATTTTGTCCGCCATGAGGCTCCCGCCATGCAGAACAAAACAAATGACTGAGCCAACATGGTTCCAGAACATCGCATCTGATTGGTCAGAAAGTAAAACAATCCACGATTGGCTACTTTACGTCATGTGACTATGTGTGCAGGAGCGCCTCTAGCGACATTGGTATGAACTGCAGCAATTTCATTGGGGTCTCCCTGTTCAGGGTATTACCGGCCTGTGGGGTCTAAACTATGACATTTTTTATTTTTATTTTCATTCGGCAAAAAAAGCAAGCGGCGAATCCGTTAACCAAGGAAATAAATTGGTGTGGCCTTAGATGAATACAATGTTGTTGATACAAGTTAGTCAAGAAGCTCTATGCTTTAATAAGCAACAAATTTCCAAATCGTGATTTGTATAATGTCTATAAACATTTTTTTTACAATCTAGGAGAGGCAATGTCATCTGCTGATGCCATGCTGTTCTTCCAAAATGCCGTGGCTGGCTCCCAGATTGTGTCGACTGTTTTCCGTGAGGCCACTATGAGGTACATGGGTCTAGTGGGTGTGTTTCCCGAAGGGGACACATGTACTGGCAACAGTTTGAGCTGGACTGGACAAAACTGTGAGTACTGCATAGGTTTTATTTTTTTTCATTGTTTACTTGTGTGTCCACATCTATTTGAATACAGTAGAGCCAAAATATGTAAAGGGGAAGATGGTGTAACCGCAGACTGACAGGAAGGTCAAATTGGAGGTGAAAATGTCGTCCCCACAGGCTTGGAGGAAGTGATTTTCTGTGCTGACAAATTACTAGATCTGTCCAAGGTGCTGAATTTCCTGCTGTTGATTTTCAGAGCCAAATATATCAGCAGAAAAGATTATTTGGCAAAAGGGACTTCCAATGTGTATCCAAAATACAAGAAAAAATTAATTGCATCATTGTAATCTTAACAAAATGAAGTTCAAGGGTTAACAAATGTTTTGTTTGTACCAGTTTGCCTTTTTAATTATTTAGTATGGTTTTGAGTCTATGTTATTTTGTATCTCTTACCCCAGTATGTGGAGACACTACCTTACCCACTCTGCCTGGTGACACCAGCTGTACAGTCAGTGAAGAGTGCTACAGGATGGACTGCTGCATGACCCTCGACCTCTGCTCCATCTGGGAGGTCAACCCAAGCTTCCATGTGGCCTTTGACCCCTGTACTTACAGCCTGTCTGTGGGGATGGGAACATGGACGTCTGACTTTAATTTGTACCAGTACACTTGGGGTGTGTTAATGATCTTCATTAAAAAAAATTAGGGCTATGAAGCAATGAAAAAAGGAATAGGTTATATATAACTTATTTCCTTCAGAGGCAGTGACATTTGCTAACTGTTGCTTGAATTGCATTTGTTGCCTGAATGCAATAAGGTTTTGTTTTAGGTGTGTTTGTTAATAAGTTGTGTGTCCGTAGTTATTTTGAATATTGTAGAGTCACTGGAAGTGAGGGGGAAATGATGTAACCACAGACAGGAAATGTTTAAGTAGAATACTAGTCATTCATCTAAAGTTTACCTGTCATGTTCATACATGTGTCTCTGATATACCTTTCTAAGAAAAAGTCTCTCATAGTTGCACTATCTAACTCTCTATTCCTTTTATATTGATTTCTGTAGGACAGAAAAAGACCCTGGCCATAGGGACTCTGCTATCCTTCAACTACAAGATCACAAAGTCAGATGAAGACAGTGCTTTTCTGATGGACTTTGCCTTCCAACTGTCCTGTGATGGAACAACTACAACCAAAAACATTGCCCTCATGGAGGGAACCAAAGTACCATACAAAACTGACTGTGAACAGGTGGTACTACCAGGTTGGTATAAGCTGCACGGTTTTGTACACTAGTCCAGAACATTTTGATGACTTCTAGGGCATGAAGTATTGTTTTGGGGTTTGAGCTGTGGGTCTGTTTGTATTTATGTATGGACAAAATAGGTTGGCTAAAGCTTCTATTGTATGCCTGTATTTATGTGTGATGAGGCCAGTGGTAAGTGACCCTGCCACTGGACCAAGAGGTTGGAAGTTCGAATCCCGCCTGTACGTTGTTGCTCACCTGACATCCACGCTACTGGAATGGGTCACAGTCCCTAGTAAGGGACATTAAACTGTGGTCCACTGTTCATTATACATACCAAAAAAGAGCTAAAAGGGAATCTTTCTGGTAGAATTAACCTGAAAATACATGTCCTCTCTGTCACAATCAGTGGGAGATTAGCTCTTCAGTGAGCTAAAACTGGATCAAGATCACTTTCTTTTTTTTTTGATATGACATATGACTATCTAATCTGCAGACACTGTGGAGGCCTTCCTGACTGAACAGGGTGGTCAGGTGGAGAAGGCTGGACAGGACTATGTGATGAGAGGTCTGGGACTAGTCGACACCTTCGCTGGACACAGCTGTAGTCATCCAACAGATGGCTGGACAGGACTGGACAGTGAGTAGTGTTTGTGTTTGCATGTGCGTTGAGTGACAGAATGTGGCCGGAGGGAATTCCCTAACCACAGACACAGGTGGTTACGTCCCAGAAGCTGGCTGGTGCTGCGTGCAAAAAGGAATACTATTTATATTATTAGACATAAACAGAAAAACTCAAGAAGAAATTCACAAAAACTCAGTAAATATCAAAGTAAATATTGTCTCCAATTTTTTTTCTATAATTCTTTAGTGTGTGTGTGTGTGTGTGTGTGTGCTTGTTCAGTGACAGAACATGGGTGGAGAGAATTTACTAATCACAGACTAAAAAGATGCTATACACAAGAGTGTATGGCATCTCTTGCCAGAAGTGGGCAATCAGGAAGATAACCTTACTGTACTCTGTTTGCTGGGCACCAGTGCAAATATGATCATGAATAGACATAAACAAATAAATTTACAATGACTAAAACAATAAATTCACTTATTTCTAAACCCCAAATATCTTATAGTGTCAAGACTACAATTTTTGTTACTGTTTCACAGAATTATAGTTATATTGAATCATCGTCTTCTCCAGGGTATCCAGAAAACATGCAGCTGCCATCCCTGCCTGACTTTGTCAACTGTGAGTTAACCGACACCTGGATTGGAGTCAGCTGCTGTGTGGACTTTGACCTCAAGGTAACCTTGAGAATTGTATTTTTAACCAATTAAAATAGCTTGAATCTTAAAAACTCAATCTTTCTTTTCCTAGATTCTGTTCTAGATGTGTAACTGTTTTCGTTTTTCTTTTTTACATGGATGATGCTTTTGTTTCTGTTACAGTACAGTTTTGGAATTTTGAAAATCTTGTCTAATTTTCTGGTTTTATTTACAACAGGTTGCAACCTACAGTACAGCTGTCATGTTGGCCTTTGACCCTTGCACCTTCACCTTGTCCGCCAGCCTTGGGGGGAAAAGTTTCACAGAACTGGACATGTACAGGTATACATGGGGTGAGTCTTCAGTAACATGATTTCTTTTAACCTTCTCCCTGCTGCCTAACCCCACAGCTGGTACAAATTTGGTGCCAGACAGCTATCTTAGCAGGCTGAAGGTTAATTATTGATGATTAATTATATTTATGACTAGAAATAGCTTATTTCATTCATCATAAGGTCATTTATGTTTATTTTTATATAAGTCTACATTCACTTTAGCTCTACAAAAATTACAATTTAATACCATTTTTTAATCAAAATATCTGATTGACAAAGAAAAGAAGTTACTGGGTAAGAAATTTTGTTTAGATAAATTACTACTTTTTAATGCTTTCAAATTTGTGGGATTGATGCTAGGTAGGTGAAGTCTGAAGGTGACCCTGCAAGCACAAGTTGTGTAATACCAGATTGAACTACATCGTACAATCCCTTTTGCCACACCTTTAACACAATCACAAAAGCCTGCAAAGATGTCGTAACTTTGAAAATCATGGAAAACAGAATACTTTCTAGAAGTCTAAAATCACAGATTTCTTTTTTTTTTCAGGAACTGAGGAGAGCCTAACAGTTGGTCATGAGATTCAGCTCAACTACACCATAAACTACAACAAGGACACACAGGAGTACACGCTGAGTTTCTCAGTCACCACATGTGTGGACTCCTGTACCGCCCCCCTCCCCATCTTCTCACAAACAACCATCAGTCTCCCTACCTGTATGGACCAAGTCCCTGTGCTTCCAGGTAGGTCCATGAAGAACGAAACTTTTAACTTGATAACAACTTTAGAAGGTAAAAAGTTACATACATACTACTTCACGGTATTAATAATAAAGTACCAAGTCATATGTGTTAGAGAAGTCATCGGTACTCTTGAAAACTCTCTGAATACCCTCTTAAGAATCCCAGAATGCGCCCTGTATATGGCTGAATAAAATGTGATCAATACAATCAGTGGGTAAAAATATATGCTAAGAGAGCTTGTTCAAAGGCAGACAGTAAATGACAGTAAAATCCACCCTAAATTGTGTAATGATTTCTACATTGGTGATTGCTATATATATAATTCTAGTCCTTGGTGCTGATTGGCTATTGCTATTCGAGTCCTTGGTGCTGATTGGTAAATGGTGTCACTGCCCATGGTGCTGAATGGTAATAGCTATCTTTGTCCTTGGTGCTAATTGGTGATTAGTATCCCTGTCCTTGGTGCTAATTGGTGATTACTATCCCTGTCCTTGGTGCTGATTGGTGAATGGTATCCCTGTCCTTGGTGCTGATTGGTCATAGTGATTTATTTAAACGGATGACTAATAGAGACTGTGTCTTTTTTACAGGAGCTGGAACCATCCAGAATTTGGTCACACAGTACGGAAACAACCTTGGCGATGCCGCCCTCCAGCCTGCCTACAGATACTGGGGTGTCTTTGACGACCTTTACCCCCTTGACCCCTGTGTAGTTCCTGCATCATCAACTTCATGTGACCTTGACCTCACGACCTTGAACCTCCCCGACACGTACCAGTATTCCCTCCGCGACTCCTGTACAGGGATTGAGACCTGTGTGGAATGTGACCTTCAGGTTGTACAGAGGTCGTCTAGGGTGGCTGTCAATGTTGATGGTTGTGCAATGACTATGACCTTCACCTTTGCGACCTTGACTAAAGTTGTCAGGTTGTATGAAGTTGTGTGGGACCAGGAACAAGTGTGGCTTGTTGGAACTCTCTACCAGATCAAGTAAGTTTCTTTATCTTGGACAGTTACCATAGTTATGAGTCCTCATTATGTAAAAAAAAGAAAAGTCTGTCCCGTAGCCTTAACTGTCTAAAATAACTTTAAAATTTGTAATAAAATGTTACTCTCTGTTTCAGGTACACCATTTCAAACGACATCGCAGCTGGTAACTACCAGATTGACCTTGAGGTCGTGACCTGCCTTGACCCTGACAGCTGTCAGTCCTGTGGTCATGTGATGCAGAACTCTGTCTTCCCCAAACCAACATGTGACTCTGATGCAAGCTGTGAACTAGACCGTAAGTGTTGACTGATGGATATTCTTTGTATATCAAAGTTCTTTCTTAAAGTTTACGAACAAAAGAGTTTGCAAGCCAACTTTTTGGTGCCTGTCTAAATCTTCTTCATAACTTTGTAAGCTATGTCTTTCCTCCTTGAAATCTATTTGACTTCTTAAGTCCTTTTAGCAGAACTTTTATTAAACACTTAAATGTATTGATGTTTACGTTTTACAAGTAATTACATTACAAATTTTAATTTAAAAATGCAGGAATAACACTTCAGAGAATTTTTAAGTTTGCACATTTCTGCTATTTCCCCATCAATCATTTCTAAATTTGATTTTAAGTATCTGACTTATCATTCTTACGAGAAAATGTAATGATTTTCATTTTCCTACTAGATTCATTAGTAGTCACTGTCTATGTATATTACAAAATTAATGTGTTCCAAAGGGCACTTGTCTTGTAAAATTACTCCCCAAATCCTTTTTCTTCTCAGCATCCAACCCAGGGCAAACCTTCACAGCATACCTGGGGAGTTTTCCGTCAGATGTAACAGCCGACGTTGCTGCCACGGGGCTAGAAAACGTGTTCCGTTGTCAGGGAGTTCCTGACATGATCATGGAATCCTGCAGCACCCCTCCTGTAGACACACCCACATGTGACTGGAACCCTGCACTTAGTGATGGCTGTTACTACACTAGTGACTGTAGTGGGGTCACTTGTTGTATTGACTTCAACTACCAGGTAAATATAAAGTCAACCATTTCTTAACCCTTTTTCTGCTAAGGTAGCATTTTATGCCATTTGTATTGTGAGGGGGAAGTAGCATGATTCAAGTAACATCTTTTGCCAAATTGTCATCTCTAAGGCTACTATAAAATGCTATTCAACATCATTGTCTAGTATTGTAAGACATTTAAAGGCTCTTGAAGACTCTTTGCAGAATGTACACATTGTTAACATTACAGAAAAAGTGGAATTTTTTTAGTCTTTAATCATTTCTGTAAAAGAAGTCGAACCTGGCAAGATACAGTTTTAAGCCAGCATTTAGACTACAGTTTTCAAAATGTTATTTTGTTCCTCATTCTTAGCCTTTTTCGTGTTACTTGTAAATATGGCCTTCAGGAAAGAATTTGCAATACATTTGTAACTTATAAATCCTATAAAAAGTTCTGTTTTTTGTTTCTCCTTTTAATGTAGATCATCACTAGGGGTCTGGATGTTCATTTTGACATTGATGAGTGCACGTACAGTATAACAGTGGAGGTCGGCAGTGAGACCATCACTCATCTCTTCTGGGACTTTGCCTGGGGTGAAGAACAGGCTCAGAGACTCGGAAAAGCCTTCTACATCAGGTATTTAATACTGTCTACATTGTACACTTTAACCTTTTGTGAATACAATGCATATTCCAGTAAAATCTTTGCATGGACAACATATACATTAAATGCTGTTTGGAACATTGAAAAAAAAACAGTACATCTTGGATATCTACTATCCATTCCGTTGAAACAGTCCATTTTGCAAGTGGAGGGAGATAGAGTGAAATAGGGTGTACTTGCTTGCAAATAAATGTGGCCTTTCTAGTTATTGATGATTTTTTTGGTTTCATCTATTTAACATGTTTTTGATTTATTGATTGATTTGTTTAAAGTAATAAATCATATTAAATATCATGCAAATAAATAAATATTATTAATACTTCTCCTTTATATTAGGGCTAGTCATCTTAACCTTTGCCTTCAAGTTGCTGTCTATCCCCCTTACGAGATTATCAAGAATTGGTAACCAAATGGCAATGGTTAAACTTACCTGCTTTCTTCTTGCCCTTTAGGTACACAGTACATGATGAGGGCAGCCACTATAGAGTGAGCTATTTCATAGCTCAATGCATAGACGACAGGTGTGACAATGGCTGGAATGTTCTGGACAGTGCTCTCATCAACAAGAAAGGATGTAACGACAGTTGTGCTGCACTCCAACTTCCAGGTCAGTTTTATATTGAATTTCCCAAAGTTTTTTTCTTTCAAATTCAAATCTATTGTGCTGGTTGGTCCCCTAAGATATCAGTGTTTAGTGCTAAGTACTCATGAAATCATTGGTGCTATCTATCTTTGAACACAAACATTATTCTTAAAAAAACTCTCCTTGGTACTGATAGGTTATTCAGCATATCTTACTTTGCACTGATTGGCTAAATAACAATTCCTCCTTGGTACTGATTCGCCATCCAAAACATCTACCTCCAGGCTGATGCTGATTGGCTATCCAAGACATCCACATTGGTTCTGATTGGCTATCCTCCAACACATCTCCCTTGGTTTTTATTGGCTATTCATCCAATGCATCTTCCTTGCTTCTGATTGGCTATCCAACACATCCCTCTTGTTACTGATTGGCTATCCAACACATCTTCTTCAGTACTGATTGGCAATCCAACACATATTTCTTAATACTGATTGGCTATTTTAGACATTCTGCATGGTACTTATTGGCTATCCTTTGGCTAACATCTTTATTGGTTCTGATTGGCTATCCAATATACCCTCCTTGGTGCTGATTGGCTATCCAAGACATATTCCCTGCAGCTGATTGGCCATACAACTAATCTTTTTATCTATTGAACTTACCATGATTGTTTTACATTGTTCTTACCTACAGGTGGTGGAAGTATTTCTGGTTTTGCCACAAACCTTGCTGGAGTAGACAGTGACTATGCCCTGCAGGCAGTCTACTGTAAACTTGGCATTGAGGACTACTGGAGCGCAGAACCAAGCTCACTTCAACCTACTGGAGTTTCCCCTACAGAGTGTTCAGCCTCATGGCCAGAGTAAGTAACAGTTAAAATATCTAACAAACTACAAGAGCCAAAGGTATTCCTAGTTTCAATACTGTGAAAGTTATTTATGTAGAGTTGGCGTTAAGTATATTTAAGAACATGTGTCAGGCCCACCTGCTCACACAGCAGAAGCACCAGTTGACAAAGAGACGTGGCCCCAGACACAAGAACATTCTGGCAGCAAGGAACCGCATGAACTGTATCAAGTAATAAATGAACTGATATATTCTAATCTATGCTGATTCTAGTACTCTTATACTTATTTCTATGTACTTATATTGTTTAGGTTTAAATGTGTGTCTTGTTAATGTGATTATGATTGTTTTGTGTGTGGGCCACAACACCAGCCCCCACTGCCTGTGGCCCACGAGTATTGTATTTGTTTGCAATCTCAATAAATCAAATCAAATCAAATCAAGTAACAATGAGTCCCTTTTTACTCTACTATAACTTCAAGGATATTGTGCACATGTATCAGATGTTATTTTTGAAAGTAAGATGTAAAATATTTTCAACTTTAAAAAGGCAGTGAGTATTTTCAACTTTAAAAAGGCAGTGATGTCTTGTATAATGTACTTTGTTTAATTTCTTAAAATTTAATGTAACTTACAAATTTATTGTTTGTTTCCAGTGTTCCTGGTTACAAGTGTGTGATCAGTGAAGGCTGTCTTGGCTTTACCTGTACTGTAGATGTTGACTTCAAGGTACATATTCTTTTACATAATAGTTACTGTACAACAGTGGGTACACAGTGGGTACGAAATGTTTTGTAAGAGTATTGCCAACTACATGTACTAGATAGCTCTAAAACAGTGCAGTCCTCTGTGGTATAGTTTACCTTACCTGTCAAGATACATTCTTCTTATCTTTGTGACGTTATATATAACAGGATAAACATGACTATGTATAAGCAGTTCATAGACTTCGTTTATCTGTTTTATTTTTAGGTGAGGACCTGGCCTGTCAAGATGGGAGTTTCCTATGACCCCAAAACTTACAAGGTCAACGCAGTTTTTGCCAACACGAGCTTTGAGTACGACCCTTTCATGTACCCATGGGGCCAGGAAGAGATGGAAACTTTTGGAGACATCTTCACCTTTAAGTAAGGAAATCTCTGATTGGTCACTTCTCTGTACTATGTAAACATAGACCTTCATTGTGATTGGTTGGTTTTCTATCATGTTTTAGAACCATTTCCATCTTTATGTAAGTAAGTCTCTGATTGGTTAGTAATACTAATTTGTACTATGTAAACTTCATTCTGATTGGATGGCTTTCTGTCATGTTCTGAAATTATTTTTATCTTCAAGTATAGTAGTCTCTGATTGGTCACTACATTGCATGTTAAGTTGTTGATAGGATAAAGTCTCATTGAGTCATCTTCAAGCAAGCCATCACATAGGAAATCTGTGATTGGTCACTACCCTGATGTACATTTAAGCTTGATCCTTATTGGATGACTACAATCACAAAATTTATTTACTTCTCATTTGGAAGTCAATAGCTTTTAACGTGACCACCAGTTCATGTAAACTAGTTTGACAATAAGAATGTTAGTAGTAATGTTGACCCATGATCTCTTATTAATCTTAAGGTACAAAGTTGACTACCCAGCTGATGGTGACTGTGGCTCCATGAAGTTCAAGTTGGAACTGGATGTGACCATTGATGGAACCAGAGAACCCAACATGCCTCTCTCACTAGAACTTACAGCTTCAGATCCATTTGATGATTCACCATACATTCTACCAGGTTAGAATGGGAGGGGACACAAGCTTTGACTCTATGTATCTTATTGGCAATGCTAAATGTGCACACACACACACACACACACACACATACACATACACACATCAAGTGTGCATACATGTACATCTAGCTGTCTGAAAGTCTGAATAACGTTACTGTATTTTAACATTCTCTTCACTAAAAGATTAATATCACCAATAGTATTTGCCACTTTCCAATAAAAAATGTTTTGTTGGTATACATGTACGCAACACCTGACATTGCTTTCAATCAAGTATCTTTTTATTCATCTTTCAATGCAGTCACAAACATTTGCGAAGTATTTATAACTGTTACAGTGTCCAGTTTAATTCCAGAATTGTAGTTTAATTCCGGAATTAAACTGGACACTATTTTATGTAACTATGTCTTTTTCATCTCTTTTAGGTGATGGTACCATCGAAACGTTCCTAAACATCACAGAACACGATGGTAATGATCTGGCTGAACATGCTGTGTACCAGTCCATGGGCATCTCTGACCTGTTCTGTGCTGACAGCTGTACTCACACAGTACAGTCTGCTGTTCCGGACAGCTGTGTGGAACAGGATTGGGACCTGCCCAGTGAAATGGACAACGTTACTTGTTCATATACCGACCAGTGTCATGGTGTTCGATGCTGTATTACTGTCAACTTTAAGGTACTGTAACAATGAATTCATTTTTGTCGTATTATCATGAAAATTCATCTGTGTTGGTAGTAATCAAAGTAAAAGGTTGAATTTTATTCCAACGCACAATTGTACAGGGATTGAATTTTCAGCAATCACTGTCACCTTCATCAGGATAATTAATGACCAATCTCTTCACAACGTGATCTCGCGAGAATTACGGTTTATAAACACGTGACCTATTCACACGAGATTTTACTGATACATGATGTAAGCAATTGATCAAAAGTGCCAGTGGTCGCTGAAAATTTGATCCCTGTACAATTGTGTGTTGGAATAAAGTTCAACCTTTTACTATCATTTTTGTCGTGTTTTTATTTTATAGTAGGAGGGAAAGGGAGCTTTTTATGATGTTTGAAATTTGCGATTGAAATAATTATAAGAATATGCAATTTAGGTCTGTATGAGACAAGTGTACAAGTACACTATGTACAAGTCTTATAGTGTATCGTTTTTTGAAGCTTCTACTGTATCGCTGATATCTTTTAGGATACGGAGAGGTCCTTCCAGACCTGGTTCCATGTTGACTCTAACGTGTATGAACTGTCTGTGGGCCTGGGGAGTCGTGAGTTCACAGCCAGTGTCTTCACGTTTCCCTTTGGAACAGTACAGGAAGAAACCATTGGTGATGTCTTCACACTCAGGTATGGAAATAAGGACATTTCTCACGTATATTTTGTTTCATAAATGCGACTTGTATAAGATTTTAGGTACTAGACATTATGTGCTATAAATTGTCAAGGGTTTTCAGTGGTTATAGCTTTTTTGTTTGGTTTTTTAGTTCTTGTTTTGACCTCCCACAGCAAACTCATCACATTTCAAACATATTCTGTGTATTCTTTTTCATTACTACTGCAGTTGCTTCTGTCACAAACTAAAAGATACTGTAAACTCTTAGTTTTCATTGAGTCACAAAATTTGAGCTCCACTGACATGAAACCAATTTACTGTACTTGCTTCTACAATCAATTCTAAATGAGTAACAAGTTACGATTTAAATGCATTTCAATCTTTTAAAATCAGCATTTTTACAGTAATAACGTAAAGTTTTCTTTGGAGAAAAAAATTGGAACTTGAAGTCGCTTGTGCTGCAACAGACCGATGATGATGAGTTAAACTTAAAACCATCTCCATGCTCCCTAACTGCATATTAACAAAGGAGAATCAGTAGCCATTCGGATACTCCTGTGTGCTAAAGGTTTACTAATGTCTATCTTTACATGATTGTGTTTGTTGTTGTTTTACTTTAGGTATAATGTTAGTTACCTGGCTGACACTCAGCAGTACAGAGCCAACATGGACATCAGTTTTAATCTGGGAGATGAGGACATGCAGGACTACGTAATCCTGACTGAACATATCTTCCCAGAGATGGCATTTGATGCTGCTGTGCCCTACACTCTGTCTGGTTAGTAAGAAATTTAAGCTTAGTCTTTATTTTATGACATCCTGAAATATACATACTTACTACTGCTGTAGATGATGTAACAGTATGATTTCATAATTTTATGTGTTTTTTGCATAATGCAAATTGCACATGCTAATAATTTGTAAAGGGACCTTAAAGCACTAAAATGTCATATATTTTTCAGGTGATGTGACTGAACCTGTAGGGTTCTGGCCCCTGAGTGAAGATGTGGGACCTATGGACGTCACAAATGGTGGAAACGACGCCGTCCTAATCAACACCAGTCCCGCCGCAGGCCCTAGTGGAGAAGACGGCCAATCCCTGGCCTTTGACGGCTCCACCCAATCCTACATCGACTTTCCCAACAACGGGCGCTTGACCACTGAAGGCTCACTAACCATCCTCGCAAACATCAACCCAAGCACGGCCAACGAATTCGCCCCAATATTCGACTACAGGGGTGGCGAAATTGGCGTCAACTCGTCTGGCATCTCACTCTGGCTACTACAAAACGGAGTTCTACAAGCAAACCTAGAAATGCAGACAGAAGACGGTGTAGAAAAAGTGACGTTCCAATCTGAAGTAGACACGGTAAAGGCAGGGGAGTGGAACTTCATTGGCGTGTCCTACGACAACGTCACCATGACGGCATATCTGTGGAAGAATGGCGCCGTAATCGGGACGTTGCGAACACCAACGGGGATGCTCGTTACAGATGGTCCAATGATCCGGGCGGGCTACGCTGTTATTGACGAGGTAAACAGTTTCGCCTTCAGTGGGAGCCTGGCCTGCGTACAAGTCTGGAACCTTTCCCTCACGGGTCAACAAGTGGGAGAAGCCATGAACTTCTGCCCGTACACTGGGTCCTTCTCTATAACAGGTTGGCTGTACTTCCTTCATGTACCCTGCAGCCACATTTGTCGTAGATAATGTCATACAATATTCATGTTGTAGAATCTATATATATTAGCTGGACCAACTGCCAACAAGGATCTAATTATAACACAGCCTTTTCCCTAACAAGACTGCTGCATATGTTATGACACATGCGCAACTCTCTTGAAAATGCCTATAGTTTGCAATCGTACGACGATTGTAAAACACAAACTTTAAGATTAAAAAGGAAAACACATCATATTATGATGTATACAAATATTTCATTGACAGGCAGCCTATATCTTATTGGTTGAACCACTAATTCTCATGCTTACATTGGTTGAACAGTTCTTACTGTTGATTGTGATTGGCAGGATCGCCCTGTATTATTTCCCAGTTAAGTTAATATTTCTTCTCTAATGGCTTCTTTCCAATCTTGTCCCAACAGCATGGCCACAGACAGTTACAACTTTCCTACAAGATGTCCAGTTTAATGCAACAAGCCCGAATGCTGCCAAGGTCACCCAGGCAGTGTTCCGCCATTTTGAACTGTACAGCTACCTTGACGACCCAGAATGCAGTGCTCCAGCTCCAACTGCCCAGAGCTGTCCTGACATCTCATTGGTCCAGAATGATGTTTTGAATCTGCAGCCTACTGACCAGTGTTCTGGAGTGCAGGGGTGCATCACCCTTGACTTTAGGGTAAGAATGGAACGCATATGTTGATATCAACATTATAAGTTGATATAACTTTATGTATATCAGCATCAAAACTTAATTCAAGTTTTAATAATTTGAGTCAAAGTATGGATTCCACAGTAAATTTGAGTCTAAGTAATGCCATGCAATGGAAAGTTTATATTTATGCTGATAATTTGAGTCAAAATATTTTTTAGTACAGAACTGGCATTGAAAATTTATAATTATTTATGGGATAATTTGAGTCAAAGCATAGAAGTGCTTAAAATCGTGCCCAGCATTTATTCACAAAATCTATTATATAGAATTTAGTGACTGATTTTCAATTCTCAAACATAACAAATATTGTCATTATGATGATTTTCTTTTGACAGGTGAAGACCTACTCGTTTGATGTGTCCTTCTATGTGGGTCAAACTGGGAACCAGCTACACTACAGCATCGGAGGACATGATTTCACTGTCGACCTGTTCTTACTCTCCCCTGGGGAGGTTCACACAAGAACCCTGGGCAACAGCATCGAAATAAAGTGAGCCTTCTTTTTATGTTTGTAGCATCGTACATCAGTAACTAACTACATATTTTCATTTTTTAAATTTAATTCACAAATTAAAAACTGAAACGTTTTTCAAATTCAAAACAAGAGATTTCAGACTTTGGGAAGTATTTTGGATACCTTCAAATTCACCCAATTTCCTGTGTCTGACCTTTTGACCTGTCATTCTGCCTATTAATCTTAAAAGTTTCCAACCCATGTGCTGTCAACCTACTCTCAAGTTCACCCCAATTCCTGTATGTAATGCTTTGACTTATAGTTCTGCCAGTAAATCTGTCCCAACCCATGTGCTGTCAACCTTCTCAGTCTGGACAAACATGCACAAACACAGCTCAGCCACCCAAAACAATACCTCCTCTGTACTGAGAAGCAAAAAGAGTGTTTAGATTCTTGGGATAACGGAATGTAATCCCTACGTTTTGAATAACTGTTACAGATTTTTTTGGTTCAATCCAACAGGTGGTCTGCAAGGCCAGAGGAGCTTGGTACAGTGATAGTGGCAAACTTTGACCTATACTTCACCATAGACAACCACCTGGTTATCTACAAAATACTTGACAATGCCCGCCTGTCTAACAACGCAATCGGTCAATCCAACTCTGCAGCCGCTGTAAAAGGTAATCATAAGGTTGAAAAATTGTCAATTGTTTGCAGTTTCTCAAGGAAACTGTAACATACTGTAAAGTGTTTTAGGGTTGAATATACACATAATTACTACTAGTACTACAGAATACCAGTGCAACAGGTGCGGGAAGCTGTGTGCCTCAGCCTTTGGGCTGAGAAGCCACCAGAGGATCCACCCCACCTGACGGGCTGTGCACAGAAGTCATCATCGGAGACGATGGACAACCAGAGATACACATAATTATGTATTTTTTTTTAAATCATTGTAACAGTTACAAGAATTGTACAGTAGCTGTCAGTTGAAAACACCAAACACCATGAAAATGTCATGAGATATGAACTCTTGAATTTTTTAATTCTTCAATTAAAGTACTTTTTAGTTACGACTGTTTTCTTTTAAAATGTGTGCCGATATTGGATTTTCATACATGTATAATATTCAAGTAACTCTTATGTATGTTGATTTTACGTGGATGTTTTGTGTCCATTTATTCTGACATTTGCCTCATTTTTATTTCCTGATGACAGCAATGCTTGAAAAGGTGAAGTCCTTCCCAGCATCAATTCCACAAGACCAGTATGTCACCTTCATAGCCACGGAGCTGGGGTTAAATTCAAGTATTATCAGGTATATTTTATTTTTCTTCTGCGGAAATTACATAGACTTTTCAATATGAAATCATTATGGTGTATACAATGGAGGTGAGCTGTCAATGATATCATTTATTCCTGCCATGGTCACATACATGTTGTGTTGTACAATTAATCACCCCATTTCCTATTTAAACAAACAAGAAAATAGATAAAAAAATACCTCACACACCTCTGTGAAATATGTACAAGGGTTTTGTAAATTTATTCTTGCAGATATATCTTCCTACTGGCTCCCATAAGGGAACAGACATGCATAAAGCAAGAAATTAAGGACAGGAAATGAGATGACCTTTTTAGTGACCTTTAGGGACCTTTGACCTAACTTCCTGACCTTTTTACTTTTCTACCACAGAGATCCCGCCACCTGGGGTACACCACTGCCCCAGCCCACCTTTACCACCACCTGCCCACTGAAAATCTTAGCAGACGCCATGTCGGAACAGACCAACGGGATGGTCACGTGCATCGCTCTGGAACACTGCGTGGGAGTGAAGTGTAATGTTCAGTTGGACCTGGAGGCTGTGGAACCTGTGATACAGGTAGAGGATCTCCAGTTGATGTAGAGGATGAAGCACATTTTGTTTTTTAGAATGTACAATTTACACAGACATGCTACAAGCAGTTGAAGATTTCATACTTCTGGTAAGTCCTCAATCCTTGGCTTCCTGTATTCCCCCATGTCAGCCCCTAATTTTGCTGACTCCTTGTCAGATTCTGAAAGCTTCACTGCCTTTGAACTTATGCCATTCTGCCGTCAATCTTCTACCTCCTACATGTACGTGCCCTCAACTTAGTCTGTCCAGAGACTCCAGACAGACAAACAGATGCATGAACCCTTGTACAGTTCATCTCGTGAAAACAATAAAACGTGTACAGCTGTGGTTTACTTTGTGATCTGACTGCTGGATTTGATCTGTCCCTAGATCTCACTGAAGATCCAACCCTGCCTACCTGACGTGAGCATGACTGTTGGATTTGAAAAGGAGGACCAAGAAATCAGCTTCATAACTGACTACTACATCGGAGATGGTAAATGATTGTTTTCAATGCAGTTTAAAAATCACATTCATTAATTCAAATTAGTAGATGCTAGTAATCCCTTTGGTGTAGACAATCAAATGAAATACTAGTTGCAACATATGTAAATACTTGTAAATATTTCTAATGAAGCTATTCAGAACAACCATTTTGACTGAATATTTTGGTTCATTGTATATTATGTATTTATGAAAAGTTACTTGCTTTAATCATTGTAACCCATTAAATAAAATTAAAATTGCTATACTGCATGTATGCTAGAAAACTGTTTTACCTGCAATATTGTACAGTGTGTGTTACAGTAACATTTTTCAACAATGTAATTCAGTGTAGCATTTTTCAACAATGTAATTCAGTGGAACCCCCACTGCAATGTTCAAACAATAAAACCTTTAATACTGAATCTAGTAGTTAGTAACAAAAACATTAGCTTCATAAATGAGGCATAGAAGAAGTGATCATTCTTTTTTGTGGAAGGCATGTTCAGTACCAAGGAGAGATTGGTGTATTGTCATGCTGCATTTTTAGGACCGTTGAGGACTATTGACTTTGGAGACCACATCAAGCTGCAGTACAGTGTTCTACGTGGTCCTGAGCAGACCTTCATCACGACCTTTACCCTCCTGGCGTGTGTGAATGACATCTGTGCTGTGAGGGTCCCCATCTTGGATGACCTCGGCATCCCCAGACCTCCATACTGCACTCGCAGGAGAAGATCTATACAAGTGTCTGAGGGTAACATTTTCTAGCCTCCGTAGCAGGCTTATAGAACTGGGGGTTTGGTGGTCTTCAGCTGTTTTCTGATTAGCCCAGTTCTAATAAAAACGGGGGTAATTCAACCAGGCCGGCTATGTTGTCTATATGCAATCAGAAAATAGCACATAAAAGATCCCAAAGACCCTGAAGACCCCCAAAAACCCCAGTTTTTGGCATGCTATGGAGGCTAAACATTTTCCTCATTGTCTGTTGTATGACATGATACAAGAAGAGTTTTGAAAAGTAATTGTGTCTATAGTATAAGTTGGTTAACAGTTTTAATTGCAGATGTGTCATTACCTCCATGAAATGTCATGGAGGTTATAATATTTTTGTGTTTCATGTCAAAGTTAAAGGCACCTCAGATGTATAACATGTTTGGACATGTATCAAGCACAGTCTAGAACTATTCAACAACCAAGTTGAACTGAAATTGAAGTGCTATTATGGAAAACACAGGATCTATAGCATTTCCTCATGCATGCAAATTAAGGGCCAATTTGCATCAAATTTTATGCAGAACTGTCTAAGCTATCTGCATGCCCAAAAATCATCTTGCCTCCCTTGAAATATTCTCTTTGAAGGTTTAAACAAATATGCCCCTGCAGTTCCAAAATTTAATACTAGGAGGCTCAGACCTACATGTATGCCACTTCTTCCTGGTGTTAAAAAGCTATCTGCCACTAACAAAATCAAGACAATAGCATGTTTAGGACAAACGATCAGTGGGAGGGAAACAAGACAGAACAAAAAACTAGACCAATTGCCAGCACGCACAGCAAGATATGTGAAAAGCCCATTGCCTTATCTCGTCCAGCTTTTAAACAGCACTCTGTAATGTAATCCTGTAATGTACATGCCGTTATATATTTGATTTTAATCTAGTACTTTTAATGAGGTTGGTATTTTAACTTTTAGTCTTGTATTGTAAAAATGTAATGATTATATTGTCACAATATGTTTTTATACAATGTACGGGACATGTAATTCAGCCTTCGGGCTGTGAGGTGTTTCAAATAAAACCCGCATTACTATTTATGATACTAACTTGTTTTATCTGAAATCTTACAGAGGGTATGAGGCTGTTGTGGACATCAGGATACAGACCAGCCACCATCAACTCTGATGTTAACAGCCTGGAGACTCCAAGACAGCAGTGTATGGAGACACTGGATGCCAAGATGCAAGGAAAAAGTAAAATTTGTACTACTCTTTTGAATTATAACTGTTAAAGTAACTCTACTGCCAATAGTATTGTTAATCTTCCATGTTTAGACCAGATGTGATACAGATTAAAGAAAAATGAACTTTGGATCATAGCTTCTGACTTTGCTTCAACCATTTAATTGATGGTAACCTTTGACGGGTGCTAAAACATTTAAGGAAACAAAGATTTCAAGTGCTTATACTTAAAGTGAATTGGACAGTCACTTGTGCTTTTATTGAATATGTGCCAATACCAGTACTAAACAACTGGTTAAATTCAAGTCCATTAATGAAAGTTTATTGCAAATACTTGCCCGAGGGCTAATTGCAGTTACAAACAACATAGAAAGAAAATACAGTGGTATGTGAGACTATATCTACTTCTAACATTATACTATATTCTACAACATGACATGACACTAGTTTTGCTGGGTTTGACTTCTTTTTAGGCAATGGAAGACGAATTTACCCACTTCTTCTATAATATGTGGGTTCTTTGATTTTAGTAGTAAAATTGTTTTTTTGTGGTAAGGAATGGTGGGGACTGGGGAAGTAAGGCAGCATTTTGGACACGGTGGTAAATAATTGTTTTCTGATGTCGTCATAAAATGGACAGTTAGAGATGAAATGAATTTCGTCTTCCACAATTAATTTACAGTCTACATGGGGAAGGGTATGTTCCTTAGCATCTTTTGTAGCCCCTTCTTTTCCTAAAGAATCTGATATAATAATTTTATTGGGTCAGTTCTGAGTCCAGCTTGTCTCCTAGCCTGGTTACCAAACCTATTATAGCTCCCGAGTCTTACAGCCTCTCCGCAAATATTTGCAAAGAGAATGTACAAATGTAGGACTCGGGAGCTATAATAGGTTTGGTATTGGTAACCAGGCTACATGTCTCCAGCATTGACGTTTCTAACTTAGTGAGGAGCTGCCCCAGTAAGCCAAACTTAACAGTTCAGTGCTGAAAAATGGTCTCTCGATCTTGCACTAAGGAAAGTCATCTAAAACAAGACAGCTTGCTTTAAAAAACAGATTGCTGATTTCGAATGAAATCTCATCTTTGTTGGTAGAATCCACAGTTATACAATGTTTGAACTTGTTCCAACACAAGGAAGAAACTCACCATAAATTTTGGCAAAATGATCAGCGATTGCATCACACATCTGATGAAGGTTGACGGGATCAGCCAAAAATTTATGGTGTTTCTTCCTTTTGTTGGAACAAGATTGCTGATTGTTAAATCTGTTGATGCTGTCCTAGGCTGTCCAGGTCTACCCCAGATGTGGGAACAGCACAAGCTATGCCAGCCTCACGTCAACTGTCGTGGGATCTCCTGCTGTGTCCACCTGGATCCGGATCACACAGATCTCATGAGTCACATCAGCCTGGACATGGAGACATGTGGACGGCACCTGACCATCCGGGTCGGCAACTGGTCATTCACCGAGACCATTCCAAAGGCACACACAAGTGAGTCACATTGTGCCTTTCTCACTTACATGTTATGTTTGACTTACATTGTAGCACTATATTTGTTACCAAATGTAACTACAGTAGTTAAATGTCGACGACTAAGCTTGGCCGGTCATGTTGTACGTAGTGAAGAACCAGCCAGTAGGCTTCTACTCTGGAACCCTGACACAAAAAAAAGAGTTGGACGGCCAAACGTAACACTTAAGAAACTTACAGAAACTGAAACAGCCTTACAGGGCCTGAAACTTATCTCTGCGATGAAGGACAGAAAGTTCTGGAGATCTAACTTTGTATGCTCCACATCTTTGGAGGATGATTGATGATGATGATGATGATGTAGCACTATATGTTCATGGTAGGAGTTGCTAACCACTGGACTATGCACACTTCACAAAGTAGTCTTTTCTCAATGACTTTTGTCATTAACCCTCTACTTTAATCCTTTAAGTTTCACCTTCTGTTTGTTACAGTGTAGGCTACAACTGTTTACTTGAATCATTAAGCTGTATCATATGCTTGATAAACACAATTATATGTACTCTCACAGCATAACATCATTGACAGTCCATCAAGGTTCTGACCTTGGTGCTGAAAACGTAGATGTTTGTTTCTTCCCTTGTTTTATCCATTAATATGAATTTTTTGCCAATTCTATCAGCTTTGTTGCACTGGCTTTCATATGACATTGAAGGCAGGAAATCAGATAACATTTTCTTTCTGGGACCTTTGACCTAACTTCCTGTCAATGCCGTGACATGCCTAGTATGTGGAAACAACCATGGAACACAAACACATACACACCAAAACAAGACCAGAGGTAATAAAAAGTTGGTTCTCATTTCCTAGCATGAGGAAATGGCTATGAAATCACAAGCAAGCAAACACACCAACACACCAAAACAAATCCAGAGGTAATAAAAAGTTGGTTGTCATTTTCTAGCATGAATAAAAATGACTATGAAAACACAAGCTAACACACAAACACATCAAAACAAAACCAGAGGTAATAAAAAGTTGGTGTCATTGTTTTCCAGGATATCAACATGGAGAGAAGATTGGGGATGCAGTACAAGTGATCTACTCGGCCATCAACCCTGATGATCACAGGGTAGTGGTGGATCTGAAACTACGAGTCTGCGACCATGAGACAGATGAGCAGCACTGTCACGTTGTGGTCATCCTTAAGGTAAAATGTGCACAATTCTTACAGCATTTTCAACCAATCATTAGAAAACTAAAAGTGATCCTGATCCATTTTTATCTGATTGAAGACCTATTCTTCCACTGCATGTTTGCAACAGAGAAGACAGACTCTCTGTACAGTATTTACATTTTTTCAGTAGTTCAATGCAAGGCCTATGCGACCACTTCTTGGCATTGAACTAGGAAGATGAGAGCAACATGGCGATGTCAAGAGATGGCGGTGAACATTTGATTTGAAAGCCTGTAGATTGTAGGTTGGTAGGAAACACTTGTCAGGGAGGGAATTCCAAAACTTGTACGTGTACAGGTTCACTGTACCAGGGAAATTCCTCAAGGTCTTTTCAACAAAGTATTTCCCACAGGCATTTTTTAAAAGATTTTGCAAATGTCTACTTTATGTTTGCAGGAGGCTGTTGTTCCCTTATTTGGGTGCAGACAGGATCAGCTGACTGAGGACTCTGCAGATGCCTCACACTTGCGCTACAAGAGAAGTGCCGCCAAGCGCTATGGAAAACCAGGTAGCTTAACAATCTAATATGTACAGGTACTATAGGGGACAAATAGCTTTCAGGATCCCTTGAGTAGTCTTGAGCTTCCTGAATACCCCCATATTAACCTTCTGACTCCCTTACCAGAGCCATTTCCTGTGTCTAATCTTTGTCATTTTGCCTGTCAACCTTCCCCACCCACATGCTGTCAACCTACATGTACTCTGTCCAGACAAATAGACACGCAAACACACAGCTCAGCCACCAAAGACAATATTGCCACAACTGGAAACTAGTAAAAAAATCATGAATAAGACATGATTTTTCTGTCAATTTTCTATGTAGCCATTATATTGCTAATCTTTTGAGATCAACAGGGAATTCATAAACCTGAAGATTGCTTTAAAGATTCTCTATTTCATTTGATTCAATTCTATTTCAGACTTCCTAAAATACTTTCTGGAAGTCTGAAATCTCTAATTTCTTGTTCGTGTAGCTTTTTTCATCCTACTCTCATTGAACACTCCTTCCTTCCTCAGCAAACCCAAGTCAGGGCTCCTGTCCGTCTGAAAGGCATCTGCGTGAAGTGGAGCACAAGCTGCACACGGCGTACAGGAAACAACAGGAGCGCATCTCACGGGACGCTGGAGTCGTCAGCGCTCCTTACCATCACCACCGAGTCAAGCGTACAACTGCAAATGAAGTGTTTGAGGTCCCAGCATTAAGTAAGTATACATGAAGCATCAAAACTACATGTATTGGAATTATATTATTCAATTTTTACCTCTCAGTATATAAGGAGGTATTGTTTTAGATGTGTTCTTTTATTGTGTTTTCATATAGTATTTGAATTTAGTAGTGTGACAGCAAGGGAGATGTTATGTAACACAGATTGACCTGAAGGTCAGGTTGGCCATCTAAATAATACCCCTACAAGCTGGGAGTCTTAAAACAAGCTCTCAGGCTGTAAGCTTTCTGTCCTAGGTTTTTTTAAAGTATCTGAGTCCATCACTAGGTTGTACCAATAAATTCACAAAAACTTTAAACTTCCTGCAGAATTGAGATATTTCATGTCTTGTTAGATTTCTGATATTCCAGGATATTTTGCTATATTTAAGCTTGACTTTGAATATTTCTTAGTATATTTAGGTCTTGATAATAATTATGTATTTTTTGGTCATCACATTGTTTGTTGTGTTAGCACACAATAGAATAGGTCTGATGCCTTACCTTATGTATAAAACATGTAAATTTGATTTTCTTTGATTTTCTTTTTTTTTTTCTTACAGATACGCCGTTCATACTGCCCCTTCCTACAAACATCACAGTCATGAAAGGGTTGACAGCAACTCTGTCTTGTGAAACCACATCAGAAACAACTGTAACGTTCCAATGGGCCTTCAATGGTAGGAACTACATAAACTTACCTCATACATTTTCACCACTTCTTCTACTAAACAAGTGAAATATGCAGTCAAAATTAAGACACATTAAAGAAAATGCCCAGACTGTGCATGATGTACAAAGTAAATTGTTTGTCATACAAACTACTAAGCGCCTAATACCAGATCAGAAAAGAGAACAAATAGTCATGCCTTCAAGTACTAGTCGAGAGTTATCAAATTCAAGGATTGAGGTGTTCAATATCTTTTTTTCATAAGGGAGAGACTGTATCATAGAGTAGAATTCGTTGCCACCACGTGTACCATGTGCTCGCAAAGATGGTATGTTATGCCAAAGAGTGTGTAGTTAAAAACATCATGATATTTTGTAAAATATGTATAACTTCTTATTATTCAACATGAAATTCATTCTTTTTATCTTTTCCAGGGCAACTCCAGGACACGTCACTGTTTGGATTTGAGCTGACACCGAACGGAACTTTGAAGGTCAAAAACGCACAGCCTGCAAACGCAGGGACATGGACATGTATGGCCACTAACCAGTATGGTACCACTACACGTGTACTGACCCTCAGGGTCGTGGGTAAGTCCTGCCCGAATATCTTACTATTCATCTATGTAAAAGTGCATACAGTCAAGCTTACCTAAGTGGATGCCTCCAAAAGACGATCATCTGGCCATAACAACAGCTTTTTCTCAGTCCCGATTTTTACCTTGACCTAAGCATTAAGGGATTTGCCTAATTTGACTTTTTAACAAGACCGGCACTATTTGGCCCATGGCCCAATTTTTGCCTAAAATAACCACGTCATTTCCAAGTGCATGGCAGAAAGCATTGATGATAGCCTTGATGGAATTGGCCAGTATGCTAAAATTGATTGATGTCAACAGTCTTATTATGTACGTTAGATGGCACCGACTGGTCAAGATTAGGTCATCGGGGCAGTGTATTGTAAAACGGATGGAAATTTTGCTTTAGTTTTCTTGTTCTCTGTCTTGTTGACATATTTTATTTAAGCAGACCGATGGTCTAAGATTGAATTTGTTATATTACTTCGTGGGGTCGTGTGGCGCAACGGCAGCGTGCGCGACTCGGAATCAAGAGGTCCCGGGTTTGAGTCCTGACATGCCACCAATCTTGTGCCCTTGGGAAAGGCACTTTACACGACTTTCCCCACTAGACTCAAGTGAAAATGAGTATTGTCTGAGTGTCCAGTATTCGTTTCTATGTGCGGGACACAACACCAGCAACGGCTGCCTCTGTTCCGCGTGTATTGCACTGTTGCAATTATATATATCATATAAATCAATAAATCATATTGCTTCCCATCAGATGGTGTGAAGGACATGACGCTTCTTCAGATCCGGTTTGCACTGGACTTGAACAACATTGATCCCGTCGTGGCTGTCAATCTTATGGAAGATCTGAAGAACCTGTATTCTGCCATGGTAGGACCTCCACAGTATTATTATTATGTTTACCGAAGGAAGACATATTGTTTTTGCTCTGTTTCTTTCCCTTCTTCTTCTCCAAACAGTGACCTCTAACCTGACCAATGACATGATTTGTTGACGTCTGTCACCATGGTGACTGGTGTTGGGTTACATAATGTTGCAATTTCTTGGTCTGCTCTGCTCCTGTCACCATATACTAGTGGTACTTGATTGTATGTGAATATGTTTGAGTAATATTTAACAGAGCAGTCCATGTCCGAAGGTAAACATTATGCATTAATTTGCTTTTGCAAATGTTACTTCTCTAGTTATAATTATAATCATTACTTATAAAGCTAAGGAAAGGGTCACCATTGTATTAAGTTGGCTGCAGCAGTTACATGTAATGGCTGTGCGGTTAGCCTCACTACTAACAGACACAAGACCAAGAGGTCACTGGTTTGATTTCCAGCATTTTCGCAAGACGTTATGTCCTTTGAGGCATATGACTTACCCCACCCTGCATTGGGTACATAAGTACAGCAGATTGTTGTATGATTTTGATACAGTAGAATTTTCATGGAAGCTGTTACAGAAGCAACCAACAATAATAACAAGACAGCGGAAGTTTGCACGACATATACATGACTACCCCAAGAATATGCTCAGTTTGCAATTTTAAGACATCATGGGGCCCTGAGTTCCAATAATTCATTTAACATTCTGCTTGTTTTCTTTCTTCATCTTTTAAAAGCTTGAAGAAGCCATCGATCTCTTCTTGAATGGGGGATTTAATGACGAATTCTCATCCTTTGAGATCTCGTTGAAAGGATTCTACAATTCCCCCAGAACAGTCTCCAACTTCTTCAAGTATCAAATACACATGCTTGTGGGTGGAATTCTCCCCATGAGATTTTGTAAGTACATGTTGTTTCTATTACATTATAATTCAAGATTCAAGATTCAAGATCACTTTATTGAACATTGCAGTGTATCACTGAATTGCGTCCAATTTACACAATTTAAAAACAATTCAATACCTACAGACATTTTACATACTAAAATCCATTGACAATTTAAAAAGACAGTAGTTAAAATAGCGGTGGTTAAAAAGACACTGCACTTCTGAAGGATATAGGTTGAAATAAAATCTGTTCAAATAAAAAGGTACAATATTTACGTCTGATGTGTTACATTGTACAGGATTGTTTATGAATTATTATAATGATCTAAAATTAAACTACAAAATAAGGCTTGAAAGCTCCTAAACCCTTCTGCCTAACCTACAATGAATACAAATTTGGTACCAGACAGCCTTTTCCAGCTTGGTCAAGGTTAGACTGGATGAATATCAAGATAGTTTTACTTTAAGTACATGAAAGCATTCTAAAATATTATAATAATTTGTACATACGTAAATATGTTATTAATTGATTTAGATGTGTTTTGTGACTTGTCCAGTTGTCAACTATGTTTGTATAATGTCTGTATGTATGAATACCAGGAAGACTAGCGGTGGACCCTAGGGTCCACCGCTAATGGTTATTCTAATAAAGTTTCAAAGTTTCATACAATATATACCACACATTGTACATTCTTGTGGATCCATTTTAGCTTTATGAGTGTGTTTTTACCGCATTTTATCTAATTGAATTCAACATTCTTTATTTTATGTGACACTGTGTGATTCCTGGAGGTTTGAAACCTCAAATTACTTTTTGGCGACGTCTCAGAGAGGAGCCTAATGGTACAGTATTGTGTGCAGTTTGCAAGAATTCTAGGAATGGTACAGGCATTTTGTCCACAGGAATGGAATGTCTACAGGCATTTCTCTGACCCACATCTATGCCGACATTCCTGGAAACCCTTGGGAAGACCTGTCTGCCAGGATGGCCCTACTTTCTGTGACCCCGGGGCTCGTTCACTATACACTCGGGGGAGGAGTACACTGTATCTGTTTTGCTCAAAATCATGAAATGATGGCAGTGCCATGCAAACAATAACCCTAACAGCAACCACCGTCGCCATGGCAATGTATGTTTTCATTGCCAGTTTTGTTTGTTTTGTTTTTAGCATTTGGTGCGGATGGGTTCTACGGCTACGACTTTACAGTAGGTGCCAACCTACTGGGCATGAACCTAACAGGTAACTTCTTTTTTTTTTCTCAAAATTTTCCACAATTCTTCCCAGAAAATGTTATCACGTTGTTGTCATAAGTAACATGTATCTGAACTACATTGTATGCACCATGCATTTCTTTACTAATATGAAGTACAGTTTGTAATTTAGTATATTAAAATGGCCAACATTGCAGTCTATTCAATGTTAAATTTTGGGCATAATATACCTGAAAAATGTCTAAATCATACCAAATGTACAATGTAAGTTGCATGCCAAAAGACTGTATGAAACTGGAAAAATGTCAACAGCATTCAAAGCATTTTTTCTTACAGCAGTGTAACTACATTTTGAATATTCCAACTGTTTTCAAAACATTCTGATCGCATTCATTTAGAACCAAAATGGGTCTGAATATTTGGAATAGGCTTCGAATAGCCATTATTACAGAAATTTTTTTACTGAGTCATTTAGCCTCTAGTGTAAAGGCTGTTTAAGCAAGCCTTTGTGGGGGCACACACCCTCAAAACCCTTTCGTCACTTTTTTACTGGATTTTTTCGGAACCCGGCCGCGGAAGAACTGGGAATACTGATACACTCAACTCTGACATCGATAGGTGGGTTGACGCCCTACACCGGTATCCGGGTTTGGGGAGAGCTAGCGGTAGGAGCTGTCATGTACGGTAAACTGCGCCTGGAGGGAGACATCATGGAAATACGCTTCCCAACCGTAGCAGAAATTGGATTCAGCAAGTTTCCATTTGATGTCAGGTAAAAAAAGAACTTTCTTATGTAATTTTTTTTTCTTTCTGCAAGGAAAAGTTTGTTTTCGTGCTGATTTTTCCTCTTCTACCTCTTTTTTGCTTCCAAACGAATAAGATCAATTACCTTGATCAGATGGCTATCACCATGGAAACTGGTGCTGTGTTAAAGTACATTATGTAGCAAGTGGCAGGACAGAGTTGAAGGGGCTGGTACAATTTGTATATACTATATGAATGTGTTTTTTAGTTAGAATATATGTATTGGACTTAGTCTATATGTATGGGACTTAGTCTATATGTATGGAAGCCCGTAAGATTACTGTTAGAACCAGGTACAGGTGATACAGGTAGTTATCCCATGGCTGGAACACGGTGTATTCCATATCGCCCGAGGTACCAGCTCGACTGTGGGTCGGATCGCCCGATGGCCGAAGGGTGTCCCAGAACAAAAAAATGCAAGAACATCAAGTTCAAGGTCTGAATTCTGTATTCGAATTTTTCAAAGCAGCGCACGCGGTTAGGGCAAAACGTTACAGTGTTCAAATCATTCAATGGAAGCCCAGACCGTATCGTAAAGTATGACCCGGTCCTGAACACTGTTATCAAACATTATCATGGCCCGGGTATGATATAAACTTACTATATATATTTTTATTATCACGTGGCTGGAACACCTGTGTCCTGGCCCAGCTATGACATAAAATCATGTTACTTGTTTCAGTATGACATTGGACTTGGAGATAATCCCCTTGAAGCTTGTGCTGAAGGCTCTAGTCACTATCGAGGTGGACGTATTGGTTGGAACAATCACAGAGACTCTGTTCAAGGCAGACCTGTGGAAGTACTCCACACCGAAGATCACCAAACGTATCCTGGAGCTCAGTACCAAAGAAGAAGACAACAGCCCTCCTGAGATTGAGAGTGTCACTGCTGACGTAAGCATCTACGTTATGAGGCTATACTGTGGGTAAAAGAAACATGTCTTGGGGGAAAATTATTATCTCATTGTAGGGAGGCTTTGCTTCAGTGTGTCTACTTGTGTGCTTGTATTTCCATAGTCATTTTCACATGCATAGTGTTCAGCACCAAGGACAGGTTTGTTCTTCATTCTCTGGTCTTACTAACAGGAAGTTAGGTGAAAGGTCCCAGAAAAGGTCTTCCCATTTCCTGTCTTCAATCCCCTAGTGTTCAGCACAAAGGACATTTTTTTTTGTTGTTCACTGGGATCACTTGCAGAACGTTTGGTGAAAGGTCCCTGAAAAGGTTATCCCATTTCCTGCCTTCAACCTAGTGTTCAGCACCAAGGACAGGTCTGTTATGCATCTTTAAAATTGGAATTCGTGAGCCTTTTTGATTTGATAACCTATGGTCATGTCATTTTTTTCTCTCCAGGGTTCTGGTATACCAGCCCAGACAAAGCAGTGCAATGTTGACCAGGTGGTGGGATATGACTACACAGAGCCGGCCTTTAGGTTAGAGATTGTAGCCAACGATGACAGGTCCCAGGCTAAGCTGAGTTACGATGTAGGCACCATCCCTGGCGGCACCGATGTGGTGTCACAGGAAGAGATCGGTATCACTCCTGTGGAACTAAACAGGGTAAGTAATGTTTCCTGTTGTTCTTGCAATGTCA